GTAGCCTGAAATTGCCCCGGAGAAGCCCGACTTGAGTTCGGTCTTCTAACGCACACGGAATCCACACGTTTTAATTTGTTAAAAAAACATTATCTTTAACCTGGAAGGCATTTAAACCACCAAACACATTTACTCCACACCGGTCTTTTCGGAGCCCAGAGCTAAAATTGCAATCCAACCTGTGGACAGGGAAACCACGGGACTGACGGCCACACAGCAAAGCTGCACCCCTAAACCTGGAACCCAGCAAACAGATGTCCCACAGCCGTCCGTGTGTGGGGACCTCCTGAACTGTAGTCTCGGTGCCCACCGGACCCCCAGCTCTGGGCAGTGTCTGTCCACCGGTCACCGCCAAGGTAACGCCCACTGTCCACGTAAGGTGGGTGAGCCGTACCGTAGGAACACCACGATAAAAACGTTAACGCTGAAACAAGTAACATGTCCAACACAGAACTGACACCGTTAAATGACTGTGTCAGGAAACCGGGACATCAGGGTGGGCAGTGACCCTGCCAAGTGCCCTTCCCAGGACTCCAGGGCCACGAACACTGCTTCCTGGAGCTTCCTTGAGGCCTTTCCATCTGGAAAGCTGCGTCCAGAAAATTCCCAATCAAACCCTTCCATGGCCACAGTCTATTAACGATGGGCGATTCCTCCATGGACGGACAAGCACGTTAACTCTTTCTCCTGGAGAAGCTGGTATCACCTGAACATCACCAGCCACCTTCATTCTGCTCTTTGTTGTTCTGAGAAACAGACAGTTTACCAAGTAACCAGCAGTGATTCAGTTTTCCTTCTCTGACCCAATGCTTCATTCTCCCGGCGTCTGACCGCACATGTAACAGAAGCCACGAGAGCAAGAGGAACATAGGATGAAACATGGGACAAGGGCCCCTAGGCCCCAAAGCAGCGTCTCAGGTCCCCAAGTCCACGCAGCTCCACACTGACCTTAGAGCCCTTCCTTTCAGATGCGACAATCCCTAGGTTGCCTGGGTGGCTCAGTTGGTTGAGCGTCCGACTTCAGCTCAGGTCATGATCTCACAGTTCGTGGGTTCGAGCCCCACGTTGGGCTCTGTACTGACACCCAGGAGCCTGGAGACGGCTTCAAATTCTGTGTCTCCCTCTCTCTGCCCCTCCCCCGCTCATGTTCTCTCTTTCAAAATAAATACTTCAAAAGCATTAATGTTTAATATAAAGGCTCATTCCATGCATAAAAAGGCTTACTGAAAGTTCCCATTCATAACTCGGGCAGAGGCCAGCAAGTGAGTGAAACTCAGCCAGGTTTTATTTGGATTAAAAGAGAGAGAGGGAAGGAAAAAGTCATGAATACTATGCTATGTCCAAAATCCACAGTCCAAAGACCACAGTAATATTTAGTAAGAAATATTACACAACTGTTGAAGCATTGCCAAAGTTATCAGGACACCCTTGGCTCATCTCACCCCGTCAGGCGCAGAGGCCAGCACCCCCTCCACAAGGAGCCTGGGGAAGAGAGAAAGGGCTTCCCGGGCTGGTCCATGCAGAGCTGAACCTACAACCCAGATCCACACACTCAAGGATGTCCTGTGTGGCAACTCAGTGCACACTCAGGAGACAGGAGCCAGAGCCCTAACTGCTTATGTGGGAAATGCAGAACAGAACAGAAATCAAACCTGGGGAGACTGAATGCACCCATGTGATGGGATTTCCCCATAAACCCACAGGATGCACACCAGTGGAGACAAGCTCAAAGAGGAGGGTTCAGTCTACACTTGTCAGCCAACATAAAACACAGGCGCCAAAGACGACATCATCCAACGGCTTGACCATCTACCTGGGTCCTTGGATTCATGTTGAGGCCACGGAAACAGGGTCTATTAGGTCAGTGCAGATGCCAGCCCCACGACGCACAAGCACGTTAGTAAAAGTGTCACTTACTTGGCTTAGCGTTGGCAACGACCGCCAGGCTCTCAGGTGGGTACACTGGGGGACACCTGTTTTCTCCAGCACCTTCATTATTGCCGTACTCTATTACTTCTACGTGTCCGAGAGGAACACTCCACTTTAACAAATACCTTTGGCTGGTGGACATCGTGCTGCTGTCCGAGGTGCTGAAACATCGTTATTTCATGGTTAATTAATTACGTGCGCAAGTCTTGATACTTTTTATATCCCTTAGTCAGGTGAGTAACATCCACCTATTGAAACATCCTGCTCATGACCTTCTTACTAACAGTTACCACTTGGTTCCATAATGAGGCCTCCCCTTAGATGAGAGGGTAGGAATTCTTCACTGTCTAATCCAGGAAAACGGGAGAACACGAATGCTGATCTGCCAGAAAGCTCTCAGTTTCCCACAAGAGCTTAGAGGGAATGAACTGGAAGACCCCTGATGACTCTTTGAGCAAAGATGCTCGTGGATTCTGGCAAATACTGTTAACAGGGAAACTCTCCTATGTGCACAGAGATATTCTCTGGTCATTTCATTTGAATGAACCTTAAAGTTCCTCGTACTGTTGGTTGTGGTATAAGCATTTTAATAAGATTAAATCATGTCATCATACTCCATGTTTATAATACTTATTGACTGTGGGGGCAGCTGGGTGGCTCAGTTAGTTGAGCATCCGACTTTGGCCCAGGTCATGATCTTGTGGTTCAGCCTGGAGCTGATTCTGTGTCTTCAGATTCTGTGTCTCCCCCTCTCTCTGCCCCTCCCCTGCTTGTGCTCTGTGTGTCTCTTTCTCTCAAAAGTAAACAAATATTAAAAATATTTTTTACTTATTGACTATGTAGAAATTACACACAAAAAAATCCCATGACCTACAGAGACTATTTTCTTCTTTAATGATAAAATGAAGCACGCAGAGAAACATACCAAGCATACTGGTTCAGGTAGGTGGAAAATGCCAGAGCAGCCACCTGTGTGACCACCCCCCAGTCCAGGCTATAGGGCTGCCAGCACCCTGAGGCCCTCCATGTGACCAGGAAAACCCCACCCCTCTGAAGCAATCAATGTTCTTACTCCTACTGATAATCAGTTTGCTTTCTTTGAGATTTTTTTTTTCCAATCAAAATGTATTTGGGAATAACCAAAATGTCAGACAGCATGCTTTAGACTGAAATCCTTGACCTGATAGGAGTCAGCTGGGACCAAAGCTCCTGGACTCCTCTCTGCTATGAAAGGGTTTGCTTTTCAGCTTGTAGCCCACACGGGAAGGGGGAGAAGGCAGAGTTCAGACGCTGGTAGGAAATGAAAGACTGAGTTCTATGAATTAGATGTGCTTTATATTTAAAAATGAAGAGGTTTGTGAACTTGACCTCAAATTTCTACCCATCCTATTTGAATCAAAAATCTTTGCTTCTGCAGAGGTTTGGGATCTCGATGTTCTGAGGTTATCAGGGGGTCTCCTGGGGCTATTTTAACATCTCAGCCAGACCAAAGTGGGTCCTCCTTCACCACCTTCCAGGAGAGTCGCTGATAACACATCAGTGGGAACTGAACTGTTCCTCTTTACTCACTTTGTAAAAAGGTGTCAAAACTCGGGATCTATGCCACAGCCCAGGCATTATTTTAAAAAATAGACCTGGCAGCTAACACAGCTACATCCATTTTTAAGGATTCATTCGTTTCTTATTCGGCTTGAAATTTTTAAAATTACATACAAATTTCAAAAGAACCAAATGGACGCGGCTCCTTTGGTGGATCATGCACCTGGGCTGCCCACGAGACGCTGCATGATGCCACGTGCAGGGAGGGTGGCCCTCCCACTACATTCAGACAAAGGTTGCTTGCGAACAGCAAATACGTTGGGCAAGAAACACCCACATCTGCTCTGTGCTGAGCTGTCTACAAAGTCATCTCACTGTGTGACCTCATCTTTCATGGCGGCACCTCCCGGGCAGGCAGGGGGCGTCTGGGGCAGCCTCGCCCAGAGCCAGTGTGGGGAAAAGGCACTGGTTTCACCTGGAAATGGGGGGTGGGGGCGCTTCCTGGGCAGTTAAGCCTGGGAGCCATGCTGCTAACCACGTGCCATTAACTTCCGTGTTGCAGGAAGCAGCACACGGGCTGGGAAGCGAAGAGCAGAAAGGTCTTGCTGGGGAGACACACCCCGCAAGCCTCCCCGGGCGTCCAGACTCGGCACACACCTCACAACGCACGGACGCCACTGGCTGCTCCTTTCTACACGTGGACGAAGGCAGGGACCAGACCACGCCAAACGTGGCTGCTTCCAGAGGTCAAAGTGTGGCCACGGCAAATCGAATGATAAACGCTGAGCCACTGACAGGGACCAAACAAACAGGATTCTTGCCAAAGGGGGTGGTCGTTTAAAATCGGTAGATTTCCCAGGGGCGCTTGGGCGGCTCAGTCAGTTAAGCCCCCGACTCTTGGTTTTGGCTCAGGTCACGATCTCACGGTTTCGTGAGTTCAAGCCCCACATCAGCTCTGTGCTGGCAGCACGGAGCCTGCTTGGGATTCTCTCTCTCTCTCTCTCTCTCTCTCTCTGCCCCTCCCCCACTCATACTGTCTCTGTCTCTGTCTCTCTCAAATAAATAAACTTTAAAAGAAATAATAATATAAAATAAAATTGGTAGATTTTCCAGCCTTATCTCATAGCTGCCTCAGATCAAGTGTGGCCGAGGAGGAGCCCTAACAGAGGTGATGGTTACTGGGCAGGACTGTGCCAGGCGCTGAGCTGAAAGTCTGACGATGGTCCTGGGCTGGACCCTCACAGAGGTCCCAGGGGTGGCTGGCTTCCCCACCATATGAGCACGGGTGTGAGGCTCAGCGAGATGGGGTGGTTCCCAATGTCCTGAGAAGGCCGGGCTGGGACGGGGCTGGAACCCAGGCTATGCAGCGTAAGCCCATAGAGACTCTCCCACCCGGCTGCCCGCTGGGGCCCCACTCAGCCTGTGCTGGGGAGGGCCTAATGCCTGGCTTCCGCTGGGAGGGGAAGGCCTCACTGTCTCCCTGGCCAGTCTCCACGCTGTAAACACACACAGTGGGCGATTTCAAGCAGGCAGTGGTTTGGAAACCGTCTCCCAAGCTCCTGAGCGTGAACAGCAATCCCTCTCAAGCCATGACGAGCTGGCTCAGGATATCAGCGTGTGTGACTTTATAAAACACCCGGAGCATTCAATTCAAAACATGCCATTTTACCTCAGTTCCCTTACAATCCACTTCTATGTGTAACTTCTCAGATTTCGTCAACCAGCTACAATATTCTAGGTGTTGGGGAGGTTTTTTTGTAATCTTTATTTATTTTTCAGAGAAAGAGAGAGCGAATTGAGCGCAGGGGAGGGGCAGAGAGAGAGCGACACAGAATCTGAAGCAGGCTCCAGGCTCTGAGCTGTCCACAGAGCCCGACACAGGGCTCGAACTCTCAAGCAGTGAAATCATGACCTGAGCCGAAGTTGGATAGTTAACCGACTGAGCCCCCAGGTGCCCTGGGGAGCAGTTCTAATGATAAACAAATTTAAGTGTAGGAAATGCTGAAGCACTATACCCTCGTTTCTTTGGTTTCACAGTGAACATAAATGCCTCCAATATAATTATATAAGATGCACTCATCAAAAATGTATTCACAGAGAGGCAGCTAAGGAGAAAAATCTGAGTGAGCAATGATACAACAAGACTGCAGAATGATTTAGGAGGCAAATAAAAGAAACTCAATGTAGCTTCTGGTTCCAACGTTGGCCTTACGTTTAAAGAGAAATAGACCAAACGTCCCCAATCTCCACCAACAGTGACCTGGCGACTTAACAATGGACTCCTTTATTATTTTTTTAATTTTTCAAGTGTTTATTCATGCTTTTTAAGAGAGTGACAGAGTGTGAGCAGGGGAGGGGCAGAGAGAGAGAGAAGGAGACAGAATCCAAGGCAGGCTCCAGGCTGTGAGCTGTCAGCACAGAGCCCGACATGGGGCTTGAACCCATTGTCCCTGAGACCATAACCTGAGCTGACGTCGGACGCTTAACGAGCTGAGCCCCCCAGGTACCCCAACACTGCACCCATTTAGCCCTCAGCTTCTTGGGGACCCGACTCTCCGCAAACCCTCGGCTTGATTGGGACCTGGCCCCCCGCAATCCCAGGAGAGGGGATGAAGACGTGCACACAGACCAGCGCAGCACGGATGGGAGCGATCACGGAGTCACCCGCTCAGCCGGGACGCGCCCCGCACGTGAGCGTGAAGATACCCCGGTGGCCGCGGCAGACGCTCACCGTGTGCTGACCGTGGCACACACCAACACATCACTCAGCATGAAGATCCGACGCTCCTTGGTTTTCATGATCTCCCCTCTGTCGTTGTACACGGTTTCGATCATATCGTCAGACCGCACGAGGTACCGATTCCCACTGCTGAGAAGCTGAACATTCAAGGTCACGCTCGACACGGTTCCCACAACCAAGTTCATCAAAAGAAGAAAACAGGTGAGCAAAAGTCTTGCAACATATAGGCATATAGAGTGTCAACGTTTAGAGATTTTTCCTCACGGAGAGTCCATGCACTTTCAAGGCAAGCATGCTTCATATGTATGCTATTAAGAATTCAGAAAGTGGCTTTTTTCTTAAGCTAAATAGTTGTATGGCCAGCGTCTGCAGTTATCCTGAACAGCGAGAGGAGACTAACCCTGTCCTCGTAAACACAACGCCTCCGGCAAGGAGGGCTCATTCGTTTCCACCCGGCACTCCTCATATTCCCTTCTCCTTAGATGACGTGCCCGAGTGCCTGCTCCATTCCTCACACACCGCCGTCCACACCTGGCCACCACTCTGTTCTTTACAACACCGCACAGCCGAGAGTACTTACGAGTGCAATGCTACTTGGTCTTACTCTTCCCAGGGTAACAATTATGGAAACATCTTTGCTTCTTGTGATTCCCCACATTTTATTTCACTGAGCCAAACACGACACCCTTGGTCTTCGGAGACATGCTTTGTATTAATTAGTAAACTGAAGTAAGTCACACAGAAGTCGGACTTCTTGCAACAATTCAGCCCAAAAGGACATCTGGAACCCTCAGCCCAGATGATCAGTAGCATGTCTGGATTGTAAATCTGCAGCGGCCGAGCTCACCGCCTACCTATTCTTGACGTGCTCACAGGGTAACGGGGCTGTGCGCACAGGTACGGAATCGGTAGTGAGCGACAAGGCTCTGCCTCCTCGTCCGCCTGGGCTCACTCTGTGCCGCATGGGTTTGCAAACGCTGTGACCACAAGCGGGCATGACTCTGAACCACACAAACTGTCATTTAATGCAATTTTTGGCTCATAGAAATTCCCATACAAATCACTTAGAAAATCAGGAAAACCCGTTCCTTAAAACGTAATACAGTAAAGTTCTCGTAGTTAAACTGAGTGTCACTTTGTGCTCAGAAATTACCCCTAATGACAAAAACGAAAGGTGACATTAGCAACGATACATATGATAGATAACTATCTATCTATCTATTGACAGCTCCTGTCAATAACTTCTTCCGGGGGCCAGAGCCATGCACAGCTATGGAAAAGCCCACCTAAAACCAGCTTAGTGTTGCAGGAAAAGGACTTGTGAACGTAAAGAGGAAACAGAGCTCTGCCCAGGAGCTGCTTTCCTGCCATATTTTGGCCTGTTTCCATGACGAACACAGCTTAGGACACGCACAGACGGGTGCAGGTGAGAACGTAAGCAACACTTCCTGATTTTATCATGACCATCCAAAAGGAAATACTGCATTCTGGCAACAGATTCAGCTACGAGAGCTGATGGGAACCACCATGGCGGTCCCGGACCCGTCTGCGGGTCTCATGACAGTGGGAGCCCCTTCCCCGAGAAAATGTGCCACGACCCGCCTGACGCTCCCCACTGGCTTCCAGACCAGGGCTCTGGGTCACGGCATCGCTGCAAAGCGTCCACGAGATTAGTAGCAAGCAGGTGACATACGGGTGGCTCATTAGTAGAAAGCAAACCGAACACCAGCCCAGACCGGGACGCCTCGGGCAACCTTGTTCAGGTATCGCTCGTTTATGGCTTTGGCCACGTGCTTGATCTCACAGCGCTGGTCAGCGTCCCTCTTCCTCTCGTTGAGCTTCTCCGCCAACGTCTCCAGCTCCGTCAGCGCCATCTGAAGGGGCAGCCGGTCAGGGTGCCCTTTGGACGTGTTCTTCAGCATGTCCTTGGGGAGAGGAAACACGGTGAACAGGGAGCACGTGCTTGCTGGTGCGGAGGCGCAGACGGCTGCACAGGCACGCGTCCGACCAACACCCGCGTGGCGCACAAGCCGGCAGCGCTCGGGCTACTTGTGGGGAGGAATAGAGTGAGCACGGCGGCCAGGATGGTAAGCTAGCTGACTCACGGTTTGGCTGAACACCAGAACGGCTCCTCGTGCAAAAACAAACTCACTCAGTGGCTTTGCTGATGGAGGAAGCCAGCGTTTTCCAATAACAGGCACCATAATCACAGGCACGCCACATCTCGGAAACGTCCCGTGCCCGGCAGCGGTGTTCAAGGTCACGCCTAGACCGTTTCCCTCCAGCGGAGCCGGACCAATGGAGCCCGGCCCCACGCACGGCTCCAGCTGCTGTGTTTCAACAGGTCCGCTCCCGAACGCCAAGTGGGCACGGCTGCTGGGGCGCCTCGGGCCGCAGCCCCGGCTTCCCCGCACACGGCAGGGCCTCGCCCCACCCCGGGCGCCCCACCCCTGCCAGAAACCTCTGTCTACGCCTGCAGGGCCACAAAGGGACGAGCAGGCTGCAGGAAGGATGTGCGGCAGGGAGTGACAACGTGGTCACCAACAGAATGACGTCACGTGGGTCAAACACAGGGGAGGCTCTCAAGAGCGACATCTAAGTGACAGTCCTGACGTCACCACCTCGATTCCATACAGGCCCTACCGCGTTCCAGCTGCCACAGACGACGTGCTGACCTCTGCCGAGGGAGGCAGACGCGTGCGGATGTGCCCCCCTCGGGCCAGCCTGGCCCTCCGCCCGGCCTCCCCGTGCTAACACCTGCTTAACCCGAGCTTGAACTCAACGGCACCCTCATCTTCTAAACCTGCTTTTCGTTCTTTATCGGGAAAAAACAAAGCACCGCACAAATGATGAAATACTTCTGGTCTGAACAAACACTGTATGCTGAGCTGCGATACATCTGCGCCCCCGTGAGTCACATCAAATCCTGGCAAGGGAAGTCGACAGTCTCACGATGGGTTCTGGCTCCACCGTCACCTGCTGGCAGCATCTACGTGCTATCTGAGCGCCATCAGGACAAGCAGCAGGGAGGACCCGCCAGATGCCGGGACAGAACCATGTGAGGGAAGAGGGGAGTCCGTCGTTCTCTCCGGACTGTTACTTATTTGGGGACAACGCAGGACAGGAGACAGGAGTGGGATACAGCGAGACGAATTCCAGGAGGACCACGTGTCGGAACCCGCAGGCCCAGGAGACCCGGGAAGGTTCAGGGAAGGCTGTGGGGTCCTGGCGCCACAGGGGCCCTGGCCCAGGAGAGCCGGGGATCAGCACACAGACAAGGAGGGCAGGGTGCTGATGGGTCACAGGAGGGGAAGGAAGCACACCAGTCCCCAGGCCGTCCCTCCCTGCGCACTGACAGTTCAGGAGGGAGGGAGGGCACTGTCCTCCAGCTCCTGGGAGCCAGGTCTCCGGGCGCCCCCACGCAGCCCTCTCAGGTGCACAAGCTTCACCCCGTCCGACTCCTGCTGTGTGTCTTCCTAAGTAACCCGGACCCTCCCTGAGCCGCCCCCAGAGTGAACCCTGAGGGACAGAGGGCGGGCCACCAGGGAGCCTGCTCACGCATCTGGAGACATCTCGGGTGAGTCTCCCGGGTGCCCAGGTAGGACGGGGAGGGGTGGGGGAGGAACACCACAGCCCCAGGAAACAAGGGCGGGGGGGACAGCAACGCGCCGCCTTTTGTAAGGGGACTGCTCTTAGACAAAAATCAGAGAAACATCACCCAGGACCATGTCCTTGCTCTCAAGCAGTACGAGGCTCAGAGCTTGTCCTGAGATGCTTTTGTTCTGTTGCCCACGGCCTTCTCACCCTTCTGGAAAAATTGATTTTGGTAAAGCCCTGTGCCAAAGGTTTGCCGTCGTTTATTAACGGCTAACCAAAAGCCGGAAAGCCAGACTGCAGACTACGTCCGACTTTAATTAACTAAGGACGAAACGCTACTCACGAGCGAGGTGTGATGACCCGACAGTACCTCAGCGCACGCGGAAACGCGGGCGACCGGCGATCACTTAGCAGCACGTCACTAAGCGCGGTCTGCCCAAGCACTCGAACATACACCGCACCGGTTACAAGCGCTTCCGACTTTGCTCTTGGCGCCTGGGTCGTGACCTACCGACCGCCAGCACCTGTGGCGCGGGAGGCTGGTCCCCGTCTAGCTAAACAAGGAGCTAGCTGGTTTCTGGATGTGACACCTTTCTTCCTCACCACCCTCTGCCACCCTCTGCGGTGGACCGACGCAGGCCTGGAGCCTCACGTTCGGAGAGCCTGGCAAATACTTGTCAACTGGAGGAATAAAACGCGTTTCCCGGATATTCTGATCTCAGGGGGAAATCATCGGGCTTTTGTTATTAACATTCTGACCCAGGCACTTGGAAACCAGACACCTGATCTAACACGTTCGTGTGACTGGACACGCACCGGGAAACACAAGTGGAAAAGGAAGAAAGACAAGAGTAACCACAGAAGCAGCCGATGTTCACGTTTCACGTCTGTACCTTTTTCTTCCTATTTTCACGACTCCTCTGCATAAAAGGAGTCGGTAAGCTGGGCAAAGCCGCCCGACGTCCTCGGGAGGGCAAGCTGAGGGATCTAAGAGACCCAACGCCGCAGGGGCCAGCGGGACCGTCCTCAGAAATGCCATTTTCAGGCAGTTCCGGGAGGTAGGTGCAGAGCGCCCCCGGTCGCAGGGTCACGGGCTTTGGAGTGGACAAGGGGTACACACGGACAGTGCGTCACACGGGAGTGGGCCGGGCTTCCCAGGATGGTATTTCCTACCCCCACTCGGAACCAGTCCTGTCAGAAACAACACGTGTACTAGTCTGAATAGCGTTAGTCTGAACAAAAGCGGGGTCCGCTGGGAAACCTCTTCTCCAGGGAACCTCCCGCTCCCTGGACTGTCTGTGCACCAAGCTCACGGCCGGCACGGTCGGTCTGAGTCTCCACTCAGTCTCCTGAGCCTGCGCCCGCCCCCAGGGCACAGAGGATGGGACGTTTTCCCTGCAACCCTGGACCCGACCCTGACTTGGCAGACGGAGCGGGTTCCTCTCTGCCCCGGGGAGTCCGGCCACCTCCACCCGCGCACAAGAGCGCGGGTGGGGCCCGGGGCCGTGTCCACGCTCGCTCGGGGTCCCTGCCCACGACCCCGCGTGCCCTCACCTGCAGCAGGAGGATGAACTGCGGGAACCTCTGTATGGGCTTCATCATCAGGCTGTAGAGTGTGATGCGGTCGGGGCTGCTTTCCTGGCACTGCTGTGAGGAGAGGCCTCGATGACCCGAGCTGCTCCCGACACGGGGGCCGCCCTCCCGCCCGACACAGACGCCTCGGCAGGGCGCACGCCCTGACCTCGCGACCCCCCGACGCCTCGCACGCCAGCACAGGCGAGCCCCTGTGCTTTAGGTCTGAGCCGGCCGGGGCTGGATTCCCGGCTGAAATCTCCCGTTTTGTCATCCGGTGCTTTCAGGGCCACCTCTGGGGGCGCCCGGGGGGCTCAGTCGGTTAGGCTCAGGTCATGATGTCACCGTTTTGTGAGTTCGAGCCCTGCATCTTTGCGGAGCATACAGCCTGCTCGGGATCCTCTCTCTCTCTCTTCCTGCCCCTCCCCCTCGAAAATAAATAAACTTTAAAAGAATTAAAAAAAAAAAAAAAAAAAGAACCACCTCTGATGCCAGGCAGCATTTATCCGTTTACCAATTCATTTAATCCTCTAAGTGCTGAGTTAGTTTCTGGGACCCTACAATCACCAGAAAAGTGCACTTACAAAAAAAGAAGAAAAGAAAACCACAGAATCCCAAATGGGAGTCGTGAGGACCCTTAACGGTAGCCCGCCACGGGCGCTGGAGCGAGATCTCCGCGGTGGCCACGGACCCCCTGCATTCGGGCCCAACCTCCAAACTCCCTACTTCAGGCTCCAGGTGTGAGGGTCTCAGGGGTGGGGGTGACCCTGGGTCTGTTCTGTCTGAGCTGCCCCAGCTGCAGGCCGCCTGGTCCCTCGACCCGCCTCTCAGCCTGGGACGGACACCCCACCGGGCTGGACCATTGGCAAACCGGGGTGGGGTATCCAGCTCTCTCCAGCTGAGGGAGTTGTGCGGTCTGATGGCAGAGGGAGGGCTCAGCCCCCTCCCCCAACACCGGTTCCCGGGCTTGACCAGGAGGTCATGGGACAGTGGGGGCTGTGGCCGGCTCCCCTGCTGACATCTCAGATACGGTCCCCAAGACAGTTCGGCCTCCTGCAAGGAAGGAACTGTCTGAATGGCCTATATTTTCTTCCCCAGGAGAAGAAACGCCGTGGTATAGAAAGACCACCAGGCACCGAGGCCACCAAGGCTGGGGGCTGATTTAATCCCTCGGCAAGCCTTGACTGGAGGAGGAGGGGAAGAACGCAGCTTTGATCACACTGTGGTCAGCGAAAATAGTTTCCTGTTCGCTCACTGCCGGACAGCCCGAGCTTCGAGAATACGGCTCAAGTAACAGGACCAAACTCTGGCTGGCTCCAGTGTTCCAACGGGAACTGGAGCCTCGTGCAACTGAGGTCTGGGCTCGGTGGCTGGCCGCCATGAGCGTCTGCAGGGATCCCATCGGTTCTATGCGCAGCAGCCCCCGTGGCCGTGAGCTAAATATACCGGGTCAACGTCCCCCAGCAGGAACCCCACGACGTCCAAGTCAGACAAGCCTGGGGAGGGTAGCCCTCTCCACCTGACATCAGAGCCCCACTGGGGGCCACATCCTTGTGGGTCAGCTCACTGCTCTGACTTGAAGGGGGCCAGAGAGCTCTACCCAGATCCCAAATGTTCGGTCTCCTGCTCCTGATACTATGCTCAAGGACAGGAAACCAATGGCAGATCCTTGGGGGCCCGACCCTCACATTCTGTCCGTCCACGTCTACACACATCCGAGGACCCGATCCTCGCTTTCTGTCTATTCACGTCCACACAAGTCCGAGGATGTGCAAATCAAGGTTGTTTTCAAAGAGCCAAGCCACTGCTGAAAATTCATCTTTATTTCCAGCACTGACCCCACACCTTGGTGCCAAAATCTCTGTAGAGGATGTTACACGTTTAGAGGCAGGGTTTGGTAAAATCTCATTGTCAAGTGTTTTCGCATGGAACCTGTTATCAAAAGGTGTTAAAACCTAAACGAAAAAGCAGCAAGTTCTTACCTTTAGAAACTCAAGGAAAGCAGGTTTCGTGGCACACGTTTTCTTGAGGATTGCCACGGCTGTGCTGAAATTATTCACATACTCACTGTAGGCGTCCAGCACCATGGATTTGGAAAACTGAAAGACCAGAGAACATTGGGAAGCATCAATGATGCACAGAGCCCAGACCCTCCCCCTTCCAGGACGGGATAAAAGGTTTGAAACCTGCCCTAAAAGCCACCTCTCGGGCACCACGATGTCTGCGCAGGACACACTTCATTATGCCTGGGTGTGATTCCTTTTCCGTCTTTAAACAAACTCGTCAGGAACTGTTTGGACAGCTGATCTTACTCTGCTCCCCCTGGTGCCCGTGCAGGCAACCCGGTTCACATCCCCGGCGGGCTGGCTCTCAGGGAATAAGAGTTCCCGACTACAGGCGTGTGGACATGATCATTTCCGACCCCCTTCTGTAAGCTGTGACCGATCCTCACTGCGGATTTCCCCTGCGGGAAAGACTGGCACACAGGCCCCAATGTCCCAATGAGCCGGCACTGACTGTCCCCTGGAAACGCTCCGGGGCAAGAAGAAAATCAATCCCCTCCAGCCCTTGTGGCTGAGGTCAGTGTCCTATCCATCCGTCTGTCTGCCTACTGTCCTGTTTTCCTAGAAACACCAGGAGGCACAACCACCACCCTCCCGCTGGTATTCTTCTAAGATCTGGCAAGTTCTCAGGATAAACAGGAATATCCATGGCGGGTATCTGGTGTGACCATCGCTTACGGCAAAATGCTTCCACCTAAATTTTATATATATGTATCTATTTTTTTAAGTTTTTTCCTTTTAAAAAAAAGTTTCCAAGGTAAATAAATATTTTAAGAAGAGGAATAGAGTAAATGTTTATGCTAAACCCAGAAAATAGCCAGAAAATGCAAGAACAAAGTAAATATCCACGGTTGCTTTGTTTTGTTTTTCGTAAAGGTCCCCGAAAGGGATCCTACAAATATCTCAGGAAGAGCTCTTGTTTCTGTGTTCAAGGCATCCTGTAATTTATACACATCATTAAGGACACACGGTCATACAGAAAAAAGGACAAGGTTTCTTCGTCGTTACTACAGGGTTCACGTAGCGTTCGAGCACTTGAACCTCCAGCTTTGATGGCATTCTTGTCTTCACGCCGCTAGGGAAGCCGTTCTCCTGAGCTACAACCTCCCGCATCCGGAGAGACCGCTCCCTCACGCACAACACACGGTCACAAACGACCGAAGGTAAAACCTCTGGGTGAGACCAGAGGCTGGGCTTCCCGGGCAGCGCACGGCTCCCCCTGCCAGGAAAGGCTCATCCTGTGTCAGCGGCCGCCCGGCCACCGCATCCGCACCCCACACCCGGGTCACAGAGGACAAGTTTCAGGGCAGAGGGTCGGTATTTTCCCACAGGGCGTTTTCCGCCGCGCCCTGACAGGGACAGGGCTCAGGGCGAGACCCACCTGACGAGGGCGTGAGCGGGACAAGGCAACAACCCTGTCAACAGAGCCGTGGCGTTGGCCACAGTCCACAGAAAGCACGCTCAAATCGCCTGCTGGTGCACAGTCCGCCCAGACCTCCCCGGTCCGCCCTTGGCCTTCGTGACCCTTCCCACTCCTGTGCGCTGGGCAGAGCGCCCTGTCCTCACGGTGGCCTCGAGGGGCCCTGCAGGGCACCAGGGCTCCCCGCCGACACCGACACCCCGTGTGACGCAGCCACGTTCACTGGGACGGGACGCGGCTCCGGAGCCCAGGACAGCATGGGGCGGCTGGGCCGCCAAGAATTACCGAAGCCACGAAGACGTCCCCGATGGTCTCCACGGAGTCCCACTCGGCCACGCGGCTGGCCAGCGCGATCTGGAACATGCCGTGGCACTGCAGCAGCTCTTTGACCCGGTAGAACACCGTCTTCAGCTTCCTCTCACTCAGGATCTTCGGTTCCATCTCCGACAGTGGCTTCTCGTAGCGCTAAGAAACACATGGGGAGGCGGCGTGCGCCACACACGGGGGGAAAGCCACTCACGACAGCGTTCACCACAAATCGCCGGACTTCACGTCAACATGCAGACACGGCACTTAGGGTCTTCTGAGGGTTCTGCAAGTTTGATTATGTCATGGCTCATACACACGCACACACACACGTGCAAGAAAGGTGAGTAAAACCTGCGTGTACTGTGTGACACGGTGTTTCGGTACCTCCAGAATCCTCTTGAGAGCATCCACGTAATTCTTCTCACTGTCCACAACTGAACCCAGGATGTATCTTCTTACCACCTGTTGGCAATTTGAAAATACGATGGTAACAGAGAAAGTTTACTTCTTGTTGATTAAAGGAATTGCTTGTTCTGTTTTCTGTCTTCAGAATAGTAGGTAAATGAAACCTTCAGAGGCCTCTGAAATACTTTAAATTGTGCAGTAACTAACGTCACAGGCACGAAACATACTTGCTCCGTGGCTATGATTTTGAAATGTTTTATTTTTTTAATTAAAAAAAATTGTTTTAACCTTTATTCATTTTAGAGAGAGACACACACAGAGCATGAGCGGGGGAGGGGCAGAGAGAGAGGGAGACACAGAATCCGAAGCAGGCTCCAGGCTCCGAGCTGTCGGCACAGAGCCCGACGCGGGGCGCGAACCCACAACCATGAGATCATGACCCGAGCCGAAGTCGGATGCTTAACCGACTCAGCCCCCCCCAGGTGCCCCCAATTATGAAATATTTTAAACCGCAAATTATAAACCGTAAGTACAGCAAGACAAGTGAAATTAGAGTGGTAACAACAAATGCATTCACTTATGCAACAATTATAAGCTAAATTAATTGTACTTGACGTGTCCTACGCTGACTTACGTGACACTTCACGTATAAATTGAGTATAAGAAAGCAGTTCTAGTCTTGACTCAAAGAATGCTATTAGCAACATTTATCTCATAAAATTATTATTCCGAAGTCGGAGAAGAAGAAGAAGCTTTTGAAAGATAGAAGAATAGATTTTTCTTTTTGGCCAAGAGCTTCTGACCAAAGACGCACCCACGAGGCGGAGTGCACAGTGGGTGAAGTAACCCTCCACAGTCTGGGACGAGCCACTTCAGACAAGGACGTCACTGTTGTCGCTATGCAGGTACATACACGGACAAACGTCTGGCCGCATGATTCCTGGTAGCGGCCAACGTTGATGCCTGGCCCTTGCATCAAGCCTACACGTATTCTGGCAAGTTATTTCCTCCAATAAACGGAAAAGAGAGCACCAAATTTCAGGAAGGCTGCCTCTCGACCACACACACCCAGAACAGCGGGGGGAACCACCAGCAGGGAGTCAACACTCACCGCAGGAACCACACCGCCACCCAGTGGGTGGACATGGCACCCGCCACAGGGGAAAGCCCTCAGTCCAGAACATTCCAGGGCCACCAAGTCTTCCAAAACATGACTGACGCGGGAGCAATTCTCTGCTCCACAAGAAGGACCGTTCAATTCACAAAATTAAGACGCAGATCAGTGCTTCCAGAACACGTAGAGAACAGAGTGATTACTTCAAGAGCCCAGATGTGTCTGGGATTAAAGCCAGCTCCCACGAGGGCGCCCACCCGCCCAGCCTGGTCGCCCAAATTTCAGATTCCCACACACTTCAAGTCTCCCGAGGCAGAATATTCAGGGTCAAACCCAGGAATTACAGACATTTTTAAAAGTCCTAGAGGATCCTAATGTGTCAGTTCAAAGAATCGGGAGTCGGGCATAAACTTGGAAATACAAAAATAGAATAAAAAATTCCAACAGGTTTTGTGGCTCCTACAGGTTGGGTTGGCCCTTCTAGGAAGTTAAATCTAACAAAGTGAACAGTGTGCCCCACGTGGACACGGGTGGTGAGGCTCCAGGGTCGTCGGGCTCGTCCTGAGGGCCCAGCACCGTGGCTGCGGACGGGGGAGATCCAGGCCCAAGTGGGCGTCTTCACCACAGCCAGGTGGACAGATCAGGAGAAGCGCTGGCCAGGAGGGCGGACAGCATGAGGACCCAGCTGCTGGGCCCAGGAGCATTACTCGGTATTCCACTGCAGAATTTCAGCCCATGGCATCGATGGCACTTTTCGAGAAACAGCAAGCAACCCATGAAATAAGAGAATTTCTTGTGTTTTTCTTCCCAAACAGGGCGTGAAGAGAACGCTGATACGTGAATATTTTAGGCCACGCCACCGCTTCGATTCGGGGAGCAGCACCATGTGATAAAGAACATCGAAAGCCCAGTCTGACGTGCCTGGGGACAAGTCCCACGGTGGAGAGCACCGCCAGGAGGGGAAGGGGAGTTCCGTGAACCACACTCACAGGGAAACCTTGGGGGATCCTAAAACACAAACCCTTCTGTAGCCCCGCCCCAGGCCTGTCCCCTGGTGCTGACTCACCGCGGCTCAAGGTGCAATCGTGTCTAATGCTCAAGGCCACTGTCCCAGGAAGAAACATTGCGACACGGCATCCTTGTCTCAGGAGAGAAGACCACCTGTGGAGAGGGGCGAATTCTCACAGGACTGCCCAGCTAACCCAGTAGGCTGAAGAAATGACGGGAGGCCCTGAGGCTCTTCTCCTGCCAGCACAGACCCTGGGCCATGCTCGTGGTTTGACGCAGCTGCCTAATGAAGCGCCTGGAATAGACTGGCGGGAGCGTGTATCTAAGACCTCCCGCCCAACACTTTTCCACTTTGTTCTCTGACAGACGCTCACAACACCTAGCCTCACCCACTCTAGGCCCCGCTCTTGACAGCGGACGCCTGTGGCTACGCCTGCCCTTCGTCCTCTGCACAGCCGGGTCTCTTGTTCCGGCCATACTGTCCCAGCAAGGATTGCCACTGTTTGGGAGTGTCACACTGCCCCCACACCCACAGCTCGACAGGAGGGTCTCAGGCCCACGGCCTCTAGGACCAGAGAGATGGGCAGGAGGCTCCAAGGCTAGAGGACCCCTAGAGGAGCCATATTGTTTTTCTAAACTATCAAGTCCCTTCCCATACTTTCCTCGGTCTCTGTGGAGGCTGGAGAAACGGGGGGCACGGGCACACGCTACAGTGAGAAGTCTCGCCACACCCCCACGGGTCACGGGCCACACTTTCCGGGAGCACCATTACGGCATTGTAACGTAAGCACCTAACTGGGACTTTAGGATTGGAGGATTTAGGTTTTGGGGATCAGAGATGTGGCCAGCCTGGCTGTTTCTCGCCATGCACAGTGCCTGCCTCCCTCGGAGCCATTGTGTCCTCCCCACAGGACTGCACTGCTGAGGGAGAGGCTTCCTGATCAGCCCTGAGCTGGGGCAAGTGGGAGCAGATTAGGTGGCTACAGGCTGCCTGTCTGGCCCAGCCGCCTCCCGGACACTACAGGCCACCTCGCCGACATTTCGCCACTGTGAGTCTCCTGGCTGTTTAGCTCTTCACCTCGGCCTGCTTCAGTTCACTGGACGATGATGAATTGCGCCCTGGCTCTCCCAGCTCTGGCTCCCATTCCTAGACTTCTAACTCTTACCACTCCACTGCCAGGCCATCCCCGGGTTCTCCGCCTGCCTCCCCCCAGACATGGTTCATAATTTGCCCAAGGCTTACTAACGTGGAGTCAAGATCATGAGTCACACGAAGCCTCAAGAGCTCCTTGCCTCTAGTGGCCCTGAGGTTTGTCACTCAAAGATAACCGAGAGGACACCACCAAATTTCTCTTCCCTCTGCTGCCTACTTCCAGACATCGAGAGACTCCTTTATGCGCAATAGTAACGGTATCAGTTGTTGGAAATCCGTGTTTTCATCTCTGTCAGAGGCACAGTTGACACAAACGCACGCGGCGTCTCTGTCAGTAAGAACGGGCGTAGATGGCGCCCGCACAGAGGGCAGCTCCACACCCTTCTCACGCTTACTCTGGGGTGGGGACTCGAAGTGCTCGAGGACCACAGAGCCCGCGTCCAGGCCACAGCCGCCGACTGGGACCTCCGAGACCCACTGCTGTGCCCGAGGACACGGAGGGGCCGGGAGCGCGCAGGGGGCAGTCACCGGCCGCGCACGCGTTCGGGCACGTCTCCAGCCAGCACGGCCGTGCCGGCCAACAGCCCCGGCCTACCTGCTGCTGAGACAGACCCTCGGGCATCGGCGTCAGGATGGCCTCCGGGTGCCTGCAGTCCACGTCGATAAACAGATTCTGCTCCTCTTCGAGACAAGATCTGTGATCTGAAAAAAGGATGCACTCGTTTGACACTGAGACGGCACGCCCGTAACACTGTAGCGCGGTGAAATAGGCCGTCGAACCGATGCGTCGGGCAGACACCTCCGTTTCCTGTGTTCTCTTCCCGCCTGGCAACGACTAGGTCAAAACTTTAACAAACCCAAGACGATATGCTCTCCACCAGAGGAACACCGTGTCCGTCAAAGTTTGAAAATTCCAATACCTTGGAAGTTTCATTTCAAAAGGCAGAGGGGCGTCATTTGAGTACCCAGTCGGTGAAGCCGAAATAAATACCTCAATTTCCTCGCCTATAAAATACGACACCCAGAGTCAGAGAAGGGCAGGTGAAAACAGCTAAGAACCCACAGTCAGTAATCGACGAAAGCTAAGTGGAGACTCCGTGTATTTCTTGACCTTCTGTGTGTCTTTCTCACTGGAAAAACACAGCTTCCGCCAGATCAAAACATTTAGACCAAATCTAAATTTATTTTTAAAAACTCAGCCGTAGCTAAATAAACGAAAGAATCTGGGGCGCCTGGGTGGTTCAGTCGGTTGGGCTCAGGTCATGATCTCACAGCTTGGGAGTTTGAGCCCCAAGTCGGGCCTGCTTTGGATTTTGTGTTTCCCTCTCTTCTGCCCCTCCCCCCCACTCACAATCTGTCTCTCTCAAAAATAAATAAGCATTTAAAAAATTTAAAAAAATACATTAAGAAAAAAAGAGAAAAGAATCCACAAAACGGCTGGAAAACAGAAAAGAAAAGGAATTCTTAGGTAATAGGACCCCAGGGATTATCGAATTTAAATATCCCAAACGCTGGCTGCATAGAAAAATTCCTGAGGAGCTTTGAAAAACCCCCCAGTATCCGCACACCTATGAGGATGGCCAAAATCCAGAGCACCGACCATGCCAAGTGCACCAAGTGCTAGAGAAAACGTGGAGCAGCAGGGACTCGCGGCTGGTGGTCGGGCACACTGTGCGGCTAGTGCGGTGGTTTCTCTCAAAATGAAACCTGCTCTTTCCCCACAATCCAGCGACAACACTCCTCGACATTTACAAGGAGTTGAGAGCCCGCGTCCACGTATAAGCTGTGACGGACGTTTACGGCACTCTGTTCCCACCTGCCCAACCTTGGAGGCAACCACAGCGCCCTCCAGTAGGTGACGGATAACTGAACCGGTGCGTCCAGACGGCGCAAGATCATTCAGCGCTAAGAAGAAACGAGCCCTCAAGCCACGAACAGACACGGAGGTCGGTTCTCAAACACGTTACTAAGTGAAAGAAACCAGTCTGAAGAGTCTACACCATGGATGATTCCAACTCTGACCTTCTGGGGAAGGCAAAACCATGGACACAGCAAGGCGAGAGGCCGCCAGGGCTGGGAGGGATGAACGGTGGGGTCCAGGGGGGTTGATGGCAGTGAAGCTCTTCTGTGTGACGATGGATCCCCGTGGTTGTACTTTTGTCCCAACCCACGGAATGGGCCACATCAAGACGTGCACTGCAGACCCTGGGTGGTAACAATGTGCCCGGGCGGGTGCATCAGCTGTCTGTGTGACAACGTGACAGCGGGGACAGGGGCGGATCTCCTGCTCAGTTTTGTTGTGAATCTAAAATCTATCTTAAATAATAAAGTCTTACAAAGAAATAGGAACAGAACCTTCTGGTGTCCAGACCCCTCCCTCGAGTGTCGCTGACTGGTCCCGGGGTGCTGGGCCCGGGCAAGTGCGTGCACATCCAGGCTGAGGAACCGCGAATTCAGCGTTATCTTCCCATGTCACAGCTTAGGACACGAAGGTCGTTGGGCTCAGGGACGTGCCTGACGACCTGCTGTGCCCCCGGGGGACCCCCGTGGGCCTCCTCCCTGCCTAGCTTGGGGCTTCAGGCCCGCCCTGCGTGCTGGGTCACTGGCCTGCAGATCCTAGTTCAAGGCCTGGGGTGGGCCAGAGTCGGCGTTTCTGCCCAGCGTCTGGCATCCAGGGCCCCAAATCCCAGGCTCAGCCCCTCTCAGACCCTGCTTCTGCTCTCCAGGGGCAGGTGCACGGCCCCCCCCACCGTGAAGGTGTTCCTCCTCGGGGTGCCCAGCATACTGCCAGCACCTCATCGGGGCCGTCCCCTTCCCAAGTAACCCACTGGGGCTCCGGACAACCTTTCCTCTGTCTTGTTTCAAGGTGAAGATGTTGTTAGCACTAAAATGTATTAAAAAAATCTAGTTCTGACTCCAATGACTTCCCCTTCCAGAAGTGTGGCCTCACCGTCCTTTCCAGGCACCGGGATTAGCAAATGCTACACTAACACCGGCACTGCGTTTGCCTCTTAGAACGTCTGTGCAAACGACAAAGTCCCGTTTTTACAAGAACTGGTCAGACGCCCCCTGGGAGCGTGTGCTCTCGTCCACACTACACGTACTAGCCAGGCTGTAAGGACACGCCAGTGCGTAGACATTTTCTCCGACGTCCGAGAATCCTTGGCCCACAGCTGGGCGTCAGCAGGAATATAGCAGACACAGCCCATCTTCCTGACAGACAGATGGACAGCACAGGCTACACCCCCCCCCCCTTGGTGAGAGTCTCAGAAAACCTGAAATTTCTGGAATCATCTCAGAGCTTCCCACACCAGCAAGAGCGTTCCTAACATCTCTGCTTAGAGTGAGACCTTCTTATAGCTTCGTCCTGGTGGGAAGCACACGTCTGTATGAGGATACACCGCACGCGAGATCACCCGTTACCACGCCTTACTGAGAACAGATTTGCTGAGATTCATGCCTGACTGAAGTCCCAGGGTACCCGAGGGGGTTTCAGGAGACACATCAGAGAGTGAAGCCCCCCGGGGCAGTCGGGGGGGAGTGGGTTTCACTAAGGGCCCACGACGTGCTGGGAGGAAACAATAGACAGAGAAGTGATGTCTGCTACCTACGTGAATTCTCTTAAATTTCCGCTGCTTGTCGTGTGTGTGTGTGTGTGTGTGTGTGTGTGTGTGTGTGTGTGTGTCCCCGAGCTACTGCACAGGTCCGTGCAAGCCCTCAGCGGAGCGTGTGCACCCTCGCCCCCATTTGGGAGCTGACACCTAGGCGGCCCGCTGAGTCAAACACCAGCTGAGTCAAACACCACTGTGCTGAGGTTGTGTGTGACGTGCCCGTGGCTGCGCTCCCCACCCCAAAGTGCTGTGTCGGGGGGACCACAGGCTTGGAGCACCCGTCTGCAGGCCGGGCCACTGACCTGGAGCCATGAAGGACTTGGTCCTAATGAGAGAGCGGCCTCTCTTCACGGCAGCCTTGGTCTTCTCAAGCCCGTCTTTAGTGCCCTCCTTCGCAGCCTTCATCAGTTTCTGCATCTGTAAAAAAAAGGGAGAACCGTGAGAAGCGGACCGTCGGTAAAAATCCACTAGCTGCTTTTATTTTGTTTTCAAAGAATACTGTCAAGTAGCTTGGTCTTAAGACGTCGCCTGAAACTGGCTTTTTGATGTGGGAGCACTTACTTGCTTGGTGTGTGTGTGTGTATGTAACTTGGGCCACATTTTGTTTGTTTAAAAGAAAAAAACGAGGACGAAAAGCAAACTTGAAAGCCAGCCCTTCTTTGACCTGGTTTCCTGCTGTGTGTAAACGGCAGCCTCCACTTTTCTTACGATCACTTACAAACACAGAGCTTGGCGGACATCAGAGGGAGCAAGTTAAACACACGCACGCGCACACACGCGCACACACACACACAGAGTCAGGCAGCCGGCCCCAGGTCACAAGGCAAACGCAGGAAACCAGGAAACACAGAGCCCCGGCTGCCTTCCTGAGCTCCCCGGGGGGCCAGGCCAGAGGCTCACGGGGGCCCCACCGCAGGTTAACAGACGAGGAGGCAGACGGGTGCGAGTCAGGAACACCACTCCGCACCGTCACGCCGTGTAGGGAACCTGGCTCACCCACCCCGGAGTCCTGCGGGCACTCCCGTGGGCCATCAGTGCCAGAGCAGCATGGACCCGCTCTGGCACACCCCTTACGCTGGAAAATTCTAAGGTCTGAGGTGTGGGCTATTGGGCTCCAAGCGATTAGAGAAAACCCAAATGGCCTCCTACAGAGAAAGCAGGCTCCCGCCAAGGGGACGTCCACGCTGCCTGCTGCCCTGCTCCTCCTGCAGGCTCCCTCCGGCACGCTCATCTGTCTCTGCCTCCCTCCTCAGCCCGCCTTCCCTGCCAGCGTGCCTCAGGATCGGACCATCAGGGCCACCGCCGGCACCGTGCTGCCCGGTTACAGCGGGGGGACGCGGCTGTCCACGCTGCACTGTGTCCCCGCGGAGCACGCTGGTATCAGACACGCACCGCGGCCCAGCTGTTTCTGTACGTCCTCTGTCTCCCGCCACCCAGCGGGTGACCCCGAACCATGTCCACGCCGCCCAGCCGGGGCCCCGCCCCAGCCCCCACGGGCCACGGCCACTGCCGTCTCCCGGGAGACACAGCCACTCCGGGATTCTCTTGCGTCCCTTCCTCCCCATCCCGGGGACGTGCCCTCCACCACACTCGCCACCTCCCCGGCCACGCCTGTGGCCTCCGCCCTGCCCCACGCGCCCAGTGCTTGTCTGCCTGCAAGGCGTCTCGGCTTTGTCTCCTGACCCACACGGCCCTTTCAGACCCCTCCCTTTCTTACCCCACGCCAGACCCCTAAGCCTCGGCGTCAGCCTGACCCCCGTCAGGGCCCCCGTCCTCGAGCTGCGATAAAGACCCAGGTTCCGGGGAGCTGAGACGCCCGTCCAGGTCACACGGCAGCCAGGGAACAGCCGGGGCTCCTGACCCTCCCTAACGTCTGCTTCTCGCTGGGTGAAGGGTGTCCGCCTGGCCCGGCCCTCACCCACTCACCCCATCTTACTGCTCGCTGCCCCCCAACGCACACTGTTCGCCCTGCCACGCCCTACTATCTGCACTTGATTCCAGACTCCTCCATGGAGCTGGCCTCCTTCACGCTTCCCCCACGGCCAATGACTGAGCTCGGGGCTCCCCAGAAGACCCCATCAGGCCCCAGACGCTCCCGTGTGGGAACCAGCCAGAGGCTCCATGGAAAGAAGTGACTGCCAGCATTTTGCTCCCACTTTGGGGAGCCCGGGGCTCAAGAACACTCTGGAATTGAGCAGGCGACCATAACGGGAGACACTTATTTCTAAGTGAACGTCTGCTTGCAGGTAGACGCCGTTCAACACACACGAACCAACAACAGAACATCAGACGGACAGGTGTAACGGGAGTGACAATTACTCGACAGTGTCCTTGTAAAACACATCTCCGAGAACTGACTGCCACCACATTCAAACCTCGTGGTTCTCCGACCTCTGGTCTCTGGAGCCCTTCGTACCCGGAAAGATGCCAAGGGCCCCAACGAGGTCCGTTTCTCTGGCTTTCACTCATCTACCCTTACTGGATGTAGAATGGAGATTGACAAAAAATATCGAACTTTTACGAATATTCATTTAAAAATACTAATAAGCCCATTCCGTGTTATCTAAGTAACGCATTCGTGAAAAATTACCGTGTTTTCCCAAACCACAACATAGGCAGTGCTGTTTTGCACGGCTGGCCATCTCTCGCGGCCGGGGCAGCACACACACAGTGGAGCCTCAGGGAAACTCCCGTCCGTGCGTACGAGGACGAGAGAGAGGAACGCAAACGGTGTCTCGGGATTTATCTGACCTCGGTGACATCTGGAAGCCCAGGACCACACGCTGAGAACCAGTGTTCACACAAAAAGGGCCAAACTTAGTTTCCTTGCGCTTCTGTTTAAAGTACGGTCTGTTTCTGAACGAGCATTTTCCACGCGGCTGGTCGAGAAGTGAGCCACACTACCTTCAGTTCATGTTTCTGCTTTAGTTGCTGAATCTCTGTGGCTGCCACCGTGCTTGCCATCAAAGCTCTCATCGTTCTCTCATAGTGCTCCTTGAGACGGGTTAGGTCATGGGAAAGCTACAGCATAAAGAGACACAATCTTCTCACAAAAACGCTCCCTCTGGTACTTTGAGACGACCGTGCATGGCGAGGCCCGGGGGGCGGCGTCTGGGGAAGCCCACGCACCACGGGGAGGCCCCAGCTCTGGCCCACCGACTCCTGAGAGAGAAAAATGGGGCGGCTTCTCAGGAGCCAGACTGGAGACTTTTCTGTGCCAGCCCAGGACAAGAAAGTGAACGAAGGGCTGAGGGTCGTCATTCACGTCCACGTGGACGACGTCACAAGGATCAGACGTGTAAATACAATACGTATAAAACTATTCCTTATGTCAGCACCAAGGCACAGGACACCAGGGTTCACGACTGTACTACGGGGCATCAGAATTTGGAAATGGGCGGCACCGATTTTTAAGTCTCCAAACTGACGTGCCTGGGCTGACGGGGAAGGGGCGAGATCTCGTAAGACGCCGTCCCCCGTGATCACGCACGCCTCAGACGTGGAAACCCAGCCCTCAAGGCTTCTCGAGACAGCGTCTCCCATGTCAACACAGGCAAAGACACTGTGCGCTGTGGGCAAATTCTGACCAGAGAATGGACCCTTCTTGAGTTGACCTCAACCACTTAGGGTGCTCGGTGGACCGTTCTAACACAAGACTTCAAGGAGACCGCTAGGTCCTTCCCCCCCTCCCCCCACCCTCCCTCATGCTGGCGGTGCTCCCAGCACCCCCAGGGTGTGGCCAAGCTGGGGCCAGGGCGGTGGGAAGAGCCCGCCTGATTATCCCGCACCTTGAGCCACGGTGTGGCACTTCACCTGCTGCCGAGCGGCCTCTCGTGTGGCACTTCAAGGGCCTGCCTGGTAACCCGGGTCCATTTGGATGGAGGGCGAGGAAAGCACGGTTTGTTCAGTGAGCGTGCGAGCGGCTCGTCAGCGGGCACCTGACACCCTACCCGCCCACGGAAGGACACCGGCGTGGCCTCGCCTGATACCCTACCCGCCCACGGAAGGACACTCTACCCGCCCACGGAAGGACACCGGCGTGGCCTCACCACTCTTCCCGGCACCTGTGCTCGACTCTCCAATCTCAAGCCCAGAGTGTCGGGCGCATAGAGTCAAGCATGAGCACAGGATTAAGTGTCCGCTGTGCCAATGCCACTGGCAGAGGGGGTCTAAGGGACGGCTGTAGGACGGGAGGTGCTCGGGCCACCTTCCCAAAGCGGGAGGCTCGTCCTGAGCGTCACAAAGCAAGCTCACGGAGTGTGGGAACTAGGCCCCCGTAACCACCCGCCAGCCGGAGGTTCGTGGGGGCTTCAGCCAAGAACCCGCGCGTCCACATACTGGGGGCCCACGGCATCTACCCACGCTGTCATGGTGGCGAGGCAGCAACTACGGCCCGGCCTGCACCAACACAGAGTCACGCGGGCCAGGCTCCGTGCGCCTGTGGCCTGATGCTCGGCCTCACACAGAAACCACGTGACATCTACAGACACGCGTGGGGATGTCGGTGCACAGCAGCCCTTTCACTAGCAGCTGGAGCCCACGGCCAACAGCACGGGCACAGCCGCTCGACGCTGAAAACCAGAATCTCATTAAGATCATGTGCCTCAAAAAAAGCGCTTGTAGGTCCCATGTCTGACAACCACCCAATTCTAGAATTCACACTCCCGATCTGTGAAGTTTCTCCTCCGACCTTCACTTCCGGAGACCCCTCCCCGCCACACACACACCTTCCACTCAGGACAGAGAACGTGGGGCAGCTTAGGAACCCCGGCCCTCAACATCATTTTGTAACATATTCTATCTTTAGACCTTCCTTTTTGTGTAGAAAACGCGGAAGTTCAAAACGCCCCTTAAAGGGAAGCAGGCTTGTGCCGCGTCTCAGAGAGACCCGATTCGGCCCAGTGAGCACAGAAAGCATGCTGTCTACACAACACAAAGAACGAGGGGACAGTCACATAGGACCCCCTGAGTGATTTCATTTATAAGAAGATAACTTCCCATCCTGCTACGATTACACTTACAACGTGAAATAAAGGAGCCTCCCCTGCGGCCAGGGTCTCACACCCTCCCCACACCCGGTACCAACGTCTTTGAGGGCACTTCGGTATTACGGAACGAAAATTCTGCAGTCCGTGCCTGTGCTAACACGAGACGTGTGTCTCTCACGCAGGCTGAACACATACTTGCTTCCTGTGGTTGCTGCGCAGGAAGGACCTGGGGACCCCATTCTTGCACTCGGAGTCACTCTGCTCCTCGTAACTCTCAAATTCACTGGAGCTCCATCCGTATTCCAAAGAGCTGTTTCCACCTTCATCTCCATTCTCGACATCGTCATAAATCATTTCATCTGAAGGCCAAAAGGCCAAAAGGAAATAAAAAGAACACAGAATTCTCTAGTTATGTTTTACCGATCACCGAGAGCTGGGGTCTGGAAGCGTGTCGGAAACCCGCAGGGGCAGCGTGGAGCCTCGGGGTCGGCTCCCTACACAGGTGGTGGGGAGCCCCTCCAAGGTGCGGGCAGAGACGTGCGGGGCCGACAGCGCTCCGGTGAACCCCCAGCCCCAGGTGCATCCCGAGGGCTGCTGGTCTAGAAGAATCCACCATGACAATACAAAAGAAGTTGCCGGCCATACAAAGATAAACCCACGGAATATGAACGAGTTATGCAAGTGGGTGACAGAGATGCTCAAATACGAACACACGTGAGGCTCACGGGAAACAGTTCTAAGTTTTGCCTTTGTGCGAAAAACCGTCTCATAAATCTCATCTATTACTGTTTTTAAAATATTTTCATCACATGAGTGATGCAGAATTAGTGAAAAACACGTTTATGCCACCAAATACGATGACAGGGGCTCTTTACTTTAAAAATTCTGCAGGCTTTAATTCCCATCTTTTGTCTCACAATCTCTGTTCTGCAAAAGTGAATTCCCGGAGCAAAGCGGCCTTGCGGGCGCCCCCAGGGCAAGACACACGTCTTACCAACTAGCCCACTTCCTTTCTGATACACGCAAAGGCCTCAGGTCCCAAGAAAGTAGTTCTGTGAGACTCCCTGACAATTACAGAACAATACTCAGTGGAAGTAGAAAACACACATGGAGTTTTGTGCGCTGGGACTTTCCGAGAACAAAAACATCATTCTACAAACTTCTGGAACATCAGTGTCTAAGTTCTCCTGCTTATTAAACACATGAGCATGAAGGGTTATTTCAGCTGGAGTTTCTCAGCTATAAATGATGTGCTAAGAGTGATTTCTGCTTAAACTATCACTGAAGGAGAGTACCATGTGAGATAAAGACATTTCCACACCTGGGAATACATTTTTGTTTCTCAATTAAATTTATTCTCTGGGCACCTGGGTGGTCTAGTCAGCTAAGTGTCCTACTTTTATTTGGCTCAGGTCATGATCTCATGGTTCATGAGTTCAAACCCCACGCCAGGCTCTGTGCTGACAGCGTGGAGGCTGCTTGGGATTCCCTCTCTCTCTCTCTCTCTCTCTCTCTGCCTTACCCTACTCATGCGTGCACACACGTGCACACTCTTTCTCTTTCGAAATGAACACTTGAAGAATTTATTCCATATGCTTCTTCAGTCATTCTCTGTAATAAAACTTGCCCTTAAAATTTTTTCAGTAATTAAAGCTCGATTAATAGATTCTCTAGGGCCAAGAGCAAGCTTTGTAGGTATAGTGACATTTAGAGGCAAATACTTGCTTTCACTGGAAATGAAAAGTAGATACAAGGTTGTCACTGAGGATCTCAGATTACTTGGCCTCACATTCTCTCTCCACTGAATTCAGATTAATTTTGAATATAAAACAGAAATCCAAACTTCTGGTTAAAGGCTCTGAGAGTAAATGTCATCTGGGTAAGAACATGCAACATTTGAAAACGAGCTCATTTTCCAGAAGCCACAGGAGCGTGGGTCAGTGTATCTGCCCTAGATGACCACCAACTGGGCAACCGGGTCAACAGGACCAGGTGGATTCCAGGGATGTGGCCAGACCCTGACTCAGCTGCCATGCAGGTCAGGGCCGAGAGCCATCCTGATGAAGGCAGGTTGCCATGGGAAGGACCTGGTGACTTCCATGGCCTGGTTGGCAGGAGGCATGCAAATGCAGAAATGTGCCTGTGCACTGTCCCCTGGTGCGGCCCATGAATCCTGAAGCTGCCCGACTAGCACTCCCTCCTCCCTCCATGAACCCCTGTGGACATTGGGCTACTCTTTGTGCGGGAAACAAGTCCGGACACATAGCTGGGCGGGTGTTGCCCACACCTGCAGAGGGACGTCCAGCCTGTGGGGGCAGAGGCGAGCTGCAGGTACACCCAGGTCAACTGGGCGGCTGGTCCTGGCTCCGGGGAAGACGGCCGAGGGTCCTGCTCTACTGTGAGCCCTGCTCTCAGGCGGGCTGGATGGCTTGTCCATCTTGAGGAGGCAGGAGCTACCAACGCCAGGCACCATGGACCACCTCTAACTCAGGTACATCTCCACTAAGCAGTCAGAACGTGGGAAAATAATGCTTCTCCAAGTTCTGGAAAAGGCAGTAGTATCTGGGCCTCACCCGCACACTGAAACTTTCAAGGACTCTGAAGAGCCTTGTTAAGGACAGATGACTGAGGCTTTGTGAATTACAATGCCCTCCTGAGCTCCCAGATGCACAGACTGGTGCTGAGACCAGACCGAAAAGCAAGCACAGCCCCAGGGCCTGTGTTTCTCCCACAAGGCCAGCGAAGGGAGAACTGGTCTACGTGGCTGGATTTTACTTGGCAGCAACCTTGCTACCTGCCCTGGGCCAGGACGGACCTAAGAAGTGCCACTGCAGTGGCAGTGGCCACACAGTCCTGTGAGTGTGCTTAATGCCACTGAACCGTGCACTCTAAACTGGTTAAATTGCTCAATTTTATGCAGTGGGCACTTTACCACAATAAAAAAAAAAACAAAACAAAACAAAACAAAAAAACAGAAAAAAGTAACCCTGGATGGTCATCATCGTATCTCATAAGAAATTCTTCAGTATCCTGCCAGTATCGTGACAGAACTTAACCCAAAACGACCATATTTTGCACAAAGCACACAGGCCTCCACTCTCCCTCAGACACCTCTGTCTCCCCAAGTTCACCAGCTGGACAGCTGAAGTCCTGAACAGCTGGAGGAACCTCAAAGACCTAGTACCACCTACTTCACTAAAGAATATAGTTACTTATCAAATATCGAAATGCACCAAAAAGCATACAATAGCAGGCCTATCTGTAGACCCCGCCCAAACCCTGCTTCAGTGCCCACTCCTGTAAAGGCAGCAGCACAAGGCAACATGCATACAGCCAGAGCTCTGGCCCCTCCGCCAGGCCAGCAAGAACCGTTCTTGGCCTGTGGCTGTCCACTTACCTCTGAGGTGTGGGTTTACCCGAAGGCCACATGCAGCCTACCTCTGTGTGTCTTGCTTTTTGCTCAACATTGCCTTTGGCTGTATACACACACACACAAACACACCATTTATTCATTTTTAACTGCAATATAATGGTCTGTTGTATAAATTCATTGCCATATGCTGATCCCTTCCCCGAGTGTGGGGCCACTATGTTCCCCTTCATCTTTGGCTCTTTACAAACGGTGCTGCAGATAAGCATCCCTGCACATGTCTCCTGGCTAGCGGGCATGAATTTCTCCAGGAAACACACCTGCAAGGGAACCACTGGTTTGTATCACCATTTACACGTTAGCTAACTCTTACTAAAGTGTTTCTCAAAACAACTGCAGCACCAAGATGCTTAATGAGACAAAGAGCAAAGGGCCACAGAGGGAGCCAGATCAACGTTCTGTGTTGGCAAAGGCCTACCTGGTAGCATAAATTACCCAAAAATAAAAATTTCAAGCTTGTTTTTACAGAAACCAGTCTTTAAGCCCCACTTTATTTGCAGCATGTATTTAAATAACTACCTAGGAGCACATTTATTGATAAGAACTTCCAGTTCTGTTTATAAAGGGACCCAAATGTCAAGCGTTTGTCTCCCTCAACGTAGGAATCTCAAGGGCAGGGGTGACTCTGTTAGCTGAAACTAAACCGGTGCTCGGTATGTAACAGCATCCAAAAGCATTTTGGAATGAATAAACTACCATGTGCTTTTAACTCTTCATCAGTTAGTACGCTGGATGTGGATTATAAGAATGTATCCTTTTTAGGTCAAAAATGCTTCCTTCTATTATGAGTTTTTAACATTGAATGGCCACTGAATCTTGTCAAGTGCACTTTACGGAAATACTAAGATGAGCCTATGGTTTATGTCCAGAAGTCTGTTCCTGTGGAAAAGGTGGTAAAGGAACCTGCTCATGTTGAAGGGTCTGTCACCCCCTGAGACCAATCTGAAGGGTTCAGGTCGGCTTTTGCTGATTTGTTGGGATATTACCAGATTTGATTTCTTTACATTTTCATCAGGATGCTCAGCGTCACCCCTTTAAGCGAAGGGGGCTCTAAGTTTACACCAACACCCTAAGATGGGTTCCCTGCTCCTGGGTAGCTGGGGTCCGCTGGGACTACACGCAGAGCCGAGGAACTCTGTTCCCTGACGGTTTAGCAAATCTCAGACGAGGACACTGGTCCTAGTGGGCTGCCGGGCAGATTAAACAGCTCATTCTAGATTGTGAATCGTTAGACATTAGCGTGTTCTACTTCAGGTGCAGTCCACGTTTCAACTAGTTGATATCAAGGTGTTTCTAGAATCCCTTCCTGGCGTTTGTCTCGACCACACTTTCTTGGTCCTGATCCATCCTTCACTTCCCTCTCCTCCCGACAATATCTTTCCTTCCTAACACTACCAGGGGCTTGTCTGTTTTTATATTATTTTTGGAGAACTGCTCTTGGGTTCTGTTGACACTTTGTTGTTTCTTTGTTTTCTGTTTTAACACTTTTGCTGTTATCATTTTTTGTCCTTCTACTTTTGCTGAGTTTGCTCCGCTCTTCTCTTATGTCACGGAGCAGAGGCTCGGCTCACTACTCCCCCACCGTCTTTTCTTAACAGGCGCCATCGTGACTACAACTCTTCATGATTTTAAATCTTCCCCATAATATTTTATGCCATATTTTCATTATTATTCAAGTCATAATATTTCTACTTTCCATTCTGTTTTCACCATTGTCTGTGAGCTAAGTACTAGTATTATTTTTAACTTTCAAGTGTTTCTTCCTATTGATTTTTTCAACTTAGGGAATGAGGCCTAAATGCCAATTGTTAGGCATTTCTTAATATTTGCTTTGAGGAATGCTATATGGTTTTTATGAATATTCCATGTGTTTGAAAAGAAATTTCAATCTTTAGGTTAATCATATACTATATTCTTCCACAGTTTACTAATTTTGTATCCAGTATCCAAGACAGTGGAGGGAACGGTCTTAAAATCTCCCACTTTAATTATGTACTTAACTGTTGCTGATTATTTCTCAGTCATATTTTGCTTTCTGTATTTAGAGGCTGTCTTGTTAGGTACACACAAGTTTAGAACTGTTATAATTCTCTCTGGTGAAGGACTCTAAACCTAATGTTTTATGGCCTAAAATTCAATATGTTATAGTAATACTGGCTATATTTTGGTTGGAATGGGCCTTATATTTCTTTTTCCATCCATTTACCTACGAATGTTTTATATCCTTATATAGCTGTCACAAAAATATGTGGCTAGCTTTGCTACTTCATCCAGCCTGAGAATTTTTTTCTTATGGGCCACTGGATTCAATTTATATTTACCATAAGTAGCAATATATTTGGACTAATTTTGCCATCTTTTTTCATACCATTTGCCATAGTTTCTTACTTTCCATTTTCTTGCTTTCTACCAGACTGAGGTTTTCTCTACTGGTTTGGGAGTTAAATAATCCATTTCTGTTCTTTTAGTGGTTACCCATAAGATGCAGACCTGACCTATCACAGCCAAAAACACACATCATTATCTATGCTCTTCCTGGAAAACGCACAGACTTTAGATGTTCAGGGTCAGTCCACCCTCCAGCTGACAGTTACCACAGCCTGGGGCTTTGGTCCCACCCTGCCAATGAAACAACACTATTACTGCTATCTTGGTCAACACTCCTTTCGATTCATTCACAAAGTTATTATTTGCTCACTGTCGTGTCTGCTTCTCATTAGGTTCGGTAACTTTTTCCTTGAAATGCAACGTGACAGTTTTTAGAGTCTGAGTGGTAAATCTCCCCAATCTTTATCTAATACTGCCTTTGCTTCCCTCTTTTTAAACACCTGTGTTTTGGTATGAGTGGACTGATTTGTGCCCAGCAGTTGTTAAGTGTATGTGCCTAGGTATGGATTCAGGCTTAACCCTGCTTTGAACTTGTATTTCTACAATCTGAGAACTTAGATCCTTCCTGAATTCTACAAAAGTATTGGTACTTCCTTCTTCTACCTTCTCATTCGTATCATTTATCAAATATGTGCTAGTACTTAGCCTCCATATTTCTTACCTTTCCACTTATACACTCCACATCTTTAATTCCCTCTGCTTTACATGTATCAACTATCCTATTTACAGTTGTAACACAGGGGCGCCTGGGTGACTCAGTCGGTTAAGCATCCAACTTTGGCTCAAGTCATGACCTTCCTGAGATTGAGCCCCACATCGGGCTCTGTACTGACAGCTCAGAGCCTGGAGCCGGCTTCCGACTCTGCGTCTCCCTCTCTCTCTGCCCCTCCCCTGCTCATGCTCTGTCTCTGTGTCTCAAAAATGAATAAATGTTAAAAAAAAATAAAATAAGGTTGTAATACAGCCACACACATCTATGTGCTCAAATATTCTACCCCATGGTATCAATGAGGCACTATAAGACATAATAAAATCCGTAGGAGTTGTGTATCTAGGGTCTGTGTGCACAGTGACTAGTCATTTTTTACACCCAGCGGGAAAGACTGATAAACTGAACCTTCTAAAACTCAATTTCAGACAACTCAAACCTGGTTCAGAGTCTGAATTTTCTCTTGGCACGTCGTCATAAATGGCTTCTTCTGGATCTGGAATAAAAAGAAGAAAACTTTCAAAACCAACCAACACCAAGTACAATGTCCACTGTTCAGGGCCACAGTCTCACACGACGCTATAATGATGCAGAAAGCTAGTTCCAAAGGGCAGACACATGCACCTTCCCAAAGCAGAAGTTTTCTGGGGACTGAAGGATGACACTCTACGTGAGCCAGGTATGAATGGGGAATTTTATGGTTTCTAGGCCAATTTAGTCCATTATTTTGTGTTCACCTTCACGTCTCTATGTGGCTCTTTATATTTTTCAGCTTACGAAGTTAACGTGTTCCAATGTACAAACAATACAGAGGTGCCATACACGGTTTCAGAAACAACGGGACAGCCCAAGAGGTGCTATGTTAACAGGAAACCTAAAATAAGTCGATCATCTATGATATCTTGAACTACTGGATATGAAAACTGGGCACACACAAGGATGAGAATGTTCACCTGTTAGGATAAAGTCTCTCCGACTACACTATGTGGAACGTTCATGTCCTCTTGAGACTGTAACACGTTTTCTTAAGAAAAGGTCGGGATCCTTCCAGGCCAGACTACTGAGTGAATACGGTATGAAAAGGTCGTGTACGAGAGCAGCAGTGAAGCTAGAAATGCATTTCGGTATTTGTAAGTTTGGGCCTTCGTGGAAATCAACCACGTTATGAGGTCTTACTTACACACTGAAAACCGTGAAGGTCACCGCGACTAAGCCACAACAAGATGAGGTAAGTACTCCCAACTCTGCCTCTGCTCTCAAGCCAGTTACATTCCAGGGAGGGGGAAGGGGGAGGCAGCAAACTTGGGAAAGCCCCTCATTCTCCTCCTGCCGTCAGGCCCCCGTGTGACAGACACCCCCTTCCTTGTAATAAGATTAACTGCAACTGTGATATGCATTTCCACTCCCGACAACGTGTGGGATGCTCGACTACGCACCCGTGAAAACCACAGCCGTGAAGCCCACGAGTCCGCTTACGTGCAGATCTGATTGTGACACCTGCACGAACCTGTCTGTGATACTTTATTGTAAGAATGCGGTACGTGACACATACACACAATATCATCGGCGGTGTATGTGATTGGTAAAGCTTCCAGTCACCAGCAGACACCGGTAGGAGTCAAAAGTCATACCCAGATTTTTTACTGTGGGGGGTGTCAGCACCCCTAACCTGTGTGTTATCCTAATTAACTGCCACTTGTGCAATAAAACAAGTAATGGGAGGGGCGCCTGGGTGGCGCAGTCGGTTAAGCGTCCGACTTCAGCCAGGTCACGATCTCGTGGTCCGTGAGTTCGAGCCCCGCGTCGGGCTCTGGGCTGATGGCTCGGAGCCTGGAGCCTCTTTCCGATTCTGTGTCTCCCTCTCTCTCTGCCCCTCCCCCGTTCATGCTCTGTCTCTCTCTGTCCCAAAAATAAATAAACGTTGGGAAAAAAAAAATGTTTAAAATAAAAAAAAAAAAAAAAACAAGTAATGGGAGAAAGTCACACAAATTTTACTCTGGAAATAAAATTGCTAGCAAACAGGAGGAAAATAATTTCATCCCTTAATGATCCCCATTTAGCGGCCCCCTAGCAGAATCCTCTACTTATGCTAGGTTCTTTGTTTGACAATGTCATAATTAAAACCAGAACACGACACATTCCAGGAGATAACTGAACAATCAGGAGACAGTTAAGATGGTTCTTCCTTGTAAGTCGATCATAGAAAATTACACAGAAATTAGTGAGCCAGTAGATAATAAAGGGATAATTGGAAAAGCCATCTTTACTTTTTTTTAAAAATTATAAGTCAAATCTAGTTAAAAATAGCTCAGCTTTCCAAGCCACATGTGGAACAGAAGGTCTGGTATGCCATCTGGACAGTGGGCTAGCTTAACCAGCCATCCACCCCCTTTCCAAAATGGTAGCCTGAAAAAGCATCTCCGTGAGAATCACAAGAAAATGCCTGGTAACGTCTCCGTGGTAACTTGCTGAGTGTGGGCCCGTGTAAGAGCATCAGTTCCCCGAACACGGGACCATCGTGACAGGACCCAAGGACTGTACTGGGAAGAAACAATCAGGAGAGAACCCGTGTGGGACGGGGGGAGCAGAGATGTTCCGACTGGAAACAAAATAAGGGCTTCAGAGAGCCTGGGGACAGCAGCGACAGGCAGCTCTGGTTGGTCCTTCAGGGAAACGAATGCAGCTCTGAAGGGACGTGGGAATAATCAGCGGAAGCCGGCAAACACACATCGACCCCCGGGGCGGCGTCCACGCGGGGCCTGGCGAGGATGAGGGCACGGCCCCGCCGGCTTCCCGGAGGTCAGTGTACTTACTCTCCATCCACGCGGTGTTGGCCGGGTCCGCCGCCCACCGGGCGAGGGCACTGTCCTCCTTAGGCGCTCGCTCGTCACTGGGAGAAAACAAACCAGGAGACCACGAGGGTGAGCGTGCTTCCGGTCAGGACGCTGCCGAATGTCCCCAAAGGGTACGTGAGCTCCAACGTGTGCACGCTGTCCCCAGATGTTACTCCGGGCGTCCTGTGCTGAGAACGTCTTCTGAGTTGCTGCCTATGCATTTTACATATGACCCCGCCACTCACACCCACAACGCGGACGTGTATGGAAGGACCCATGCCTGCGGTCCCACCACACCTTCCCACTTGGCTTTTTCGGGGCCCCTTTTACAATAAACACTTAGACTTAAGCCCTTGAAAAGTCAGTGACCTCTGCCCTAACCATCTCATTAGGAACCAGTGCCTGACCTCGCTCTGTATCTACGGGGACAAGGGACGCCCTCCCCCGGCCCCCTGCACACACCCCATTTCTGGGATATGTGAGTAATACACCTGGGGCCTTCCCTTCCCTTGTGCGTGGGGGCGGGTGTACCGAGGCCGTGCCTTCGATCCAAACGCCCCGGGGGCTTCACCCCCCAGTGGTCTCTGGGACGCTGAGGGGGCCACTGGCTGACACAGGCGGGGGCTTCCGCCCCCTCACCCAGCAGGTCAGAATCTACATGTGCTCGTTTTATCGGACCAGCCGCGGCTTCTCAACACAGACGCCAGGTTCAAGCTTTCGTTCCCAGCGGTTTGTACGTGCCTCCGAACGCCCGCCACGTGCCCGGCACAGGTGTTCGCACAACAGAAACAGGAGAAACGAGGTCTCTGCTCCAGGGGGCCTGAAGCATCTTCCAGTTGTTCACCAGAACTTCTTGCGGGCCTGTTGTGTGCCGCACACGGTACCAGCTGCAGAGACACGCCGGAGTGACAGACGGGCCTTCTCGCCTCCGGGAAGGGACCTCACGCGGCCAGAAATAAAAAGTGCTCACGACTCAACTGGTGCTGTGCTCTGGTGCAATGGTCCCGGGGGCCAAGTCACAGGTCACACACAAGGATAGGAATGCTGTCCCGCGGGCTACGGCAAGCCTCTGGAATGCTTTATTCAGAAGAACGACAAGGTCGGCTTCATTCAACACAGCTGGGACAAGACCAACCTCAAGGGCCCGTGGTCTAGGGGAGCTCTGCAAGGAAGAGCCGAGCGCGGTGTGGAGCACTTCACGGGAAGGGAAAGAGGCTGGAACTAGGGTGAGTGCTCAGAGACAACCAGGGGCAGCTCGGAAAAACACACACGTGCAAAGGAGAATCATTCATACGGAGTTAATGCCACACTTCACGGTAAGTGACAGATATGGCGGGGGTCACTGCAGCGTGGTCTCTTCTATCATCATTTTTGTTAGTTTTCTGAAAGTTCTAATGGTTGAATACAAGATTTAAAGGCCAGGGAAGATGGCAAAGGTCTTAAAAATGTCCAGGTCACAGACACTTTAGCTACGCAAGCATGTGCGACACAATACGCTACATTGTGGATGCGTGTAAGAAAAGAAGCTGAGTCCGTCCCCACACTTAGTTGAGGAACATGTCACATAAAAAAAGAAAGTATTCTCACACTTTTCAAGTCTAAAATTACATCAAAATGAAGTTAAGCAAAAAAACAGAAAATCTAAAGCAAAAATGGATGATATTTAAACTGCTCCCGAGTGTTTCCGTAGGTTTAAAAAAGGTCGCTTTCTGTAGATTTAAAAAAGGTCGCGCTTTGGAAGAGAATCTGAACTTGCCCTCTCACACCACTTCACGTTCTTTTTGTTCTAAGAAACGATCCTTTCAGCAGACGTGTTTTCCACCGTACGTTTCAGATCACCGGCGATAATGTGCCACCTGCTTGTGTCTCGTCTCACACACACTGTGATTCTACTGAGGGGTCTTGGTGGACCTGCTCTGCCACATGTAATGTAAACCAGGTGGAAAGAGCTTGCACATCCCTTTCTGCAAAGACACCAGTCTTTTAGGGACACGTATGTCTTTCTACGTTCAGAGGCCAGCCTACCACCCCAAAGAAAAAGCCAGGTGAGCGTGAGAACAGCAGGCCAAGGACCCGACACCCGAGTCAGGAGTCCGTTCTCGCTCTCCATCTCCTCTGCTGGTGCCTGCGCGGGCGAAAGGAAACACCGCAAGCTGCCATATGGGAGGGAGGGAAGTCCTCACTGGTGTGCTGAGACCGGTTTACTTCCTCTCGGTCTCTGATACCGATCACAGGCCAGGCACTCGGTAAAGGCTTGGCAAACTGAGACATAACAACTAAAAGTGGGTAAACAAACAGAGCCAGAACGCACCAAACACAGGACCAGGCAAGGTGGTAGATATTCTAACGCTGGGTAAAGCCTGATCCCACAAAATGGGCTTTAACTCATAAAAGGTCACAGAAGGCAAAGACGGAGATCATATATTGAATAAAGGTCCAATAGAACAAGAAGATATAACCATTACAAACATACAACTAACGAAAAAGCCCCAAAATAGATGAAGTGAAAGTACACGGTACTGAACACAGAAATGGACCATCTCACAGTGACAGCTGGACACGCCAGTGTAGCACTGTCAACAGCAGAACCACCAGGCAGAAGACGCTAAGAGTGCCACAAATCAATTAGACCTAAGAGACATGGCAGAACGTGGCACCCACCCACCCTCACGAGTCAAGCTACAAAACTCTTAGAAGAAAACAGTGAGAGAGCTTCATGACACTGGATGTGCCAACAACTGACTGGACAGGACACCGAAAGCACAGGCAATATAAAAGAAACAAAACACATAAACTGGATTTCATCAAAATTAAAAACTTTTGTGCAAAGGACACCATCGAGAGAGTGAAAGGACAACCCACAGCATGGGAAGAAATGTTCACAAATCACGCATCTGACGAGAGATTAATATTCAGACTATATAAAGAACACCTACAACTCAACAACAACAAATAAACCCAACTCAAACATGGGGAAGGAACGTGAATGACATTTCTCCAAAGAAGACATACAAATGGGCGATGGGATGTGATGAGGTGCTCAGCATCATTAGTCATCAAGGAAATGCAAATCAAAACCACCGGGAGGTATCATTTCACACTCCCTAGAATGACTACAATCTTTAAAAACTGGAAAATAAATTTGGTGACCGTATTGGAAGCAGTTCATTGCAGGTGGGAATGTGAAATGGCGCTGTCTCTGTGGTAAAGAGATTGTGGGTCCTCAAAAAGGGAAATATAGACTCACCATAAGATCCAGTGCTCCGCTCACAGGTACAGAGCCAAAGGGATAGGGAGCAAGGACTTAGATGCTCATACACCTGTGTTCCCAGCAGCGCGATTCACGACAGCAAAGAGGTGGAAACAAAGCAAGTGTCCTTCGAGTGGTGAGTGAGTGAAAAGGTCATATGTGCTTACAAAGGAATATTATGCAGGCTTGAAAAGGAAGGAGATCCGGACGCATCCTACAACACGGGAGAACCTCGCAAACATGATGCAGAGTGAAACAAGCCAGACACAGAAGGACACGAGTTACCTAGATCGGGCCAATCCACGGAGACAGGACACAGAGTAGGGGTTGTTGGGGGCTGGGGGAGGGGGGCGGTAGATTACCACAGGAGGGTTAGAGTTCCTATCTCAGATGATGAAATATTCTGAAAGGGGAGAGTGGTGACACAGTATATGCACGCGATGCCACTACATGTTACACTGAAAAGGGTTCAAATGGTAAGTTTTATGTTGTATATATTTTAACACAGTTTTAATACGGACAACGCAGTGTACCAAAAGCCACAGGACAGTCCACCTCGAACAGGTGTGGATAATGCGTCAGTATGGCTGCACAGCCGTCCAGCAACAAGCATGATGGCGTGCTAAGCCTTGGTCAAACCTGCTCTCCCCCTTCACAGGATTCTCAGTCCAGCAGCAGAAAGGGACAGGGGAAGTCACAGTGAGGGTGCACTGTTTTAATCAGTTTTAAAGCCGGTGTGCCCACACAGCTCTGGATGGACAAGAGGGAACTTTATAAAACGAGACACTAAGGCAGGGTTTTGAAATGCATGCAGGAGTTTGCCTGGAGGACGGGCTTTTCCTGGGCATCTCAAGGAGGAGAAATAGTGTTTTTGAAGGCAAGTGGCATGAAAGAAAGGTCTACAATCAAATCAGTTTGAAGCACTCTCGCTGAAAGCTGGGTCAGACACACTGAAAACTCCCCTCCGGCCCCACAGGGTTCTGAGACCCTTCCCAAGGCTGAAGTACACACAGAATCTCCAGGGTGGAGGCCGAGGAGGGCCACCTCTCCGGGGCCTATCTGCATGTGCGTTTGTACGGTCTGTCCTTCTACACAGACAGTATGAACCTCTAGCCGAGTCCTCGTACTCTGACACCCATCCTGGGAGCCCCTGGGCGAGAGAGCAGACGGATGCAGGACTGGGAGCGGAGGGTCTGGGCGGGGAGCAGGCGTGCTCGGTCACCACCTCACAGCACTGAGGGCAGGCAGGACAGGTGTCCCACACTCCACATTACAGGGAACGGCCATGGACCCAGGGCACGTGTGTAAAATGAAAAAATTTACCTGTTTGCTGGATCCTCAGAACTTAAAGAATTAAATGGGCTGTCTTCTGCTACTTCCTGTGTCTCTGTGAGGAAAGAAAAAAAAATCATATGGTTTCATGCTTAGGGTAAAATTGTAGGAAACAGATTTTTACATTTAAAATGGTTCCCTATTTTCCATTCTTATGAACGACAGGCTTATCTTAGCATAAAAATGATTAACTGATAGATATAAGGTTTTTTAGGTTAGATTCAAAATAAGATGTTTTCAAAACAGGATTACAGTAAAAAGTGATATCCAAAGGCTCCTGAAACAGCTGGAATTAAACCCAAAGAAAGCAGGCTACAGTAAGAAACAAATTTTCTCCTGTGTCTTAACTTTTCATGAGAATTTACAATTATGATTTATTGGAAAGTATGTCTAAATGGGAGCCTCCAAAGATTCTCAAGGGAGAGTTACGTTCATATCTGGCAACCAAGTTTTTATATACTCACACGCACGTGCACACACGCACACACGCACACACACACACAGTCTGTCACACATGTCCAGCTGACTGCTGTTCTCCCACCTCTGGGTTTGATTTACCAAGGGGTGATGAGCTCAGGCTTAGCCACGTGCTCAACCAACAACTGGTTAATTGCTACACTGGGAAACTGTCCATAAACACCGTTTTAGAAGGAATTTACTGTGTGCTAGGCAAACGTTCGTGACCACTTTCAAAGTGCTCAGCAGTTAACTCAAGGTCCAGGAAGGCTGGGCTTAATGCAATAAGCTTGGAGATCTCACTCATAAAACTGGTCCCCTGATCCCGCTAAACAGTAACAAACACCCCTCACCCGGCGGTGGGATTTGCCTGGCGGTGCACCAGGAATTGTAGAGGCATGAACTCAACAAGTTCTCGAGGCCATGGAAAACCTCACTGTCTGCCAAGGAGCACATGCCAGGTCAGAGGCAGGGCCACGATCTGAACTCAGACCTGCCCGTTCCAAAGACTTCCCACCACACCACACTCCCCCCAAAAATGGCCCACATGACTTCCTAAAAGACAAAGATACTCGACAAAGTCAACGAAGAAAGGATGTGGACTGGCAGCGAGCACACTTCACACAGTGACTACCTTCCCTGCGGCTGTGTCAGGGGCCCCTCTCACCACCCCTGAATGCACACCGCGCGTGCCTCAATGCACCCCCCCAACACCTTCCTTCCCGGCGCTCCCCCTTCTGAGAAAGCAGATGCACCCGGAGGTGATGTCTGCTAAAACGAGAACTCTGATGACGGTATGGTGAGCACACTCGAGAGGAAGTTCTCCCGCTGGCCACACACACTGCTCATCTCTCACTGTTCTGGAAGGATCTGGAAGCCCGTGCCACGAGGCAGAGCACCATGAGTCTCTGGCCACTGGAGGACCACTAATGAATGAAAGTGGAGGCTCAGTGTTGGTTCTGGGCAGTGGGGAAGATGACGGGTTCCAGCTGTCCCCGACTCTGAGGCTCGTGTCCCAGAGGAGCCTCTATGCGAGTGAGGGAGCCTCAGCGAGGACGTGCATGCTGACCGAGCCCACAGAGCCAGGCCGCCCTGTGTCCACGAGGGAACCACACGGTGCAAATGGTTAGGTAGCCGGCCAGGGCACCACAGGACGTATGTGCACATGCGTGTGCTCATGCAAGAGTGGGGGAGGGGCAGAGAGAGAGAATCCCAGACAGGCTCTGCACTGTCAGCACCGAGCCTGACGTGGGGCTCGACCTCACAAGCCTCGAGAGCATGACCTAAGCCGACATCGAGAGTCGGATGCTCAACCGACTGAGCCCCCCGGGCGCCCCCCCTTCTCCTCTCAATTCCATAATCTACTTCCTTATTTTCACATTGTTCTTACTTGTCAGAGGCCACAAAACACAAATAGCATTGTTGACCACGGTTAATTTCCAAGATTCCAACCAATTACAAGAAAACATGTGAAAAACCTCAACCCTAAAAACCTGTGGTTTCCAAACAAATTCAAGAGCTTCTTTAACGAAGACTTTTTTTTTTTTCCCCTCAATGGTCACAACTGGGAAGGAGAGAACGTGTTTACTGAAATCTCGCACAAGCTCTGATTCCGTGTCCGAGCGGCCTCGCGTCCCTGAGAGCCTCTACACCTAGGACAGCGCCCGTGCTGCGTCCTCGGATAGGGAGCACACGCAGATCTCGGCAAGAGAACAAACACTTGGCTGGGCTGCCTCACTGGCCGCACTCGGAACGGAACAGGCCGCCCTCTGCTCAGGGAGGGCCGCACTCGAACGTCCCGCTGCCCTCATGCACGCGGACCCACAGGCACCTGCCGGGGGAAGGTGACCCGGCTCGGCTCCAGCGGCTCTACCGGAACACGGAGGACTGCGGGACTCACGGACGACAGGCGGTCACGGCCCGCAGTGCGCAGTGAGGAGGAGGACACTACCTTCCTCTTCCAGGGACGCGGCGCGGATGACGACGGGGCTGGAGTAGGCCGGCACGAGCAGCGGGAGGTTGCAGGGCACAGCGTAGCCGCAGGGCACGGGCACCGAGTACCCGCTGGGCACCGGCGGGCTGGCGCTCTCCTCCTCGGCATCCGGGTCGGCGGGCGGGGGCTGCTCCTCCTGGAAGGGCGTGATGTCGATGACGGAGTAGGGGTTCACCCGTGTCGGGACCTCAAGCGTCGGGCCTTCCACCGGGGCCTCCGCGTCCGTTCCCCTCCCGATTTCACCTCCTGGAGGCAAACACACAGTGTGGAGGAGGTGAGGACAAGTGGAGCCACGCCCCCCCCAAAGGGCACGCAACACCAGGGCACCCAGGAGACGCCCAGATCTGGGAGTACAGGGCGGAGCATTGCTGGGGTCAGCGCGGGACACCCCAGGGCCTGGCAGCTCCCGGGGCGGCTTCTCTGCTGACAGGCATCAGGTAGAAGCTGCCGGACCAGGGGAGCCACTGACTGTGTGGGGAGCCCTCGCTGTGGACAAGAAACCAGCCCTTGTGGTCGGGACAAAAGCAGCCACCTCCAGGACCCAACACGGACTCCATGCATCTCAAAGAGCGTTAGTTTCAGAAACGTTTCCCACCACGCAGCGACACGGTGCTGAGATGTGGCCGACACCCACCCCCTCCGAGAGGCCGCCAGGGGCCGCCGAGCAGCCTGACGCCCGTGGGAAATGCCAAGGACCAAAGGAGCACGGCCAAACTCCAATGAGCCATCACAGCTCACGTCCCGCTGCAGGACACCGACTTCCCCCCACGTCACTCACCCGCGGTCGGGACGAGCTGGCTGCTGGGCCACGGGCGCTGGGGGCGGCCCGGGGACTCACCTGAGCCAGACGCGGCATCCGCGCCCCCCCCACCGGCCGGGGCGCCCGCGGCTGGCCGATCCGCTTCTGGAATCTCATCTCCGCTGTCGAAATCGAACTGCTCCCCCTCGTCCTCTTCGTTGTTGTTCCTGTCGTATTTCACCTCGTTTTCTAACGGTGAAAAGAACACAGACTCAGCCGCCGCAGGAGCAGAGACGCACTAGCATTCAGTGCCAGGGACTGCGCAGGTGGCGGAAGCGACGGGCAGAGGATGAGGGAAAGGAAGCGCCAGGAAACGAGGGAGGCCACAGACTTCAACACTAGTGGATTCCGCTCAAGCCCCACGGGGCCCCAGGCCCCTTCGGTTCTGTCCACGCCAATCACCCACAACGTACATGCCACCCAAGGAAGGGGACCTCGCAACCCCTGCCCAGGCCAGGCCCACCCTGCGGTCCCCGTCCTGCACGCGTCCCCGCGTGTGGATGTGTACGGGGCAGGATGGAGGCCACTCAGACCCACAGATGCCGTCCACCATCCCGTGAGAGGCCACAGCACCCTGGTGACCACGCCCAGGCTAGGGGGCTGGGGCAGGGGACAGCCCAGTGGGGAGGGAGCTTCTGCTGCTCCACGGCACCCCAACACTGGGGCCGGAAGTCAGAACACAGAAAACTCCCAAACCTGACGGCCTTCTCCACTGGTGCACAACTCACTCCTCTGCACCCAGACGGTCTGTGGGCATCTGGTGCTCACACAGATCACGGGAAGTTGGTCATGGGGACCCATCTCCCAGGACGAGGACCCTGCACACCCACACGGGGACCCTCTCCCAGGATGGGGACCCTGCACCCTTGGGGTGTCCAGGGCGGTTTCATTGCGAAGGAACAAGTAGGTGGGCACTGTGGAGAGGGAGAAATGACCCCCAAGATGGAACCCACACCGCTCACTCTGCAAGCAAACCGGGGTGCTGCACGGTGGGCCAGGGCATCAGGCGTCCCCACAGAGAGAGAGCTCCGGTCCCACTGGGCTGCAGAGGGATCTGCTGAGAGAGGCGCCCAGGGCCCGGAGCGGGTTCCCTCCTCCCTTCCAGAGGGTTCCACCCAGCGGTCACACAGGCCTGAGTGTGGGAATGTGGGATCTGAACCAGTCATCTTAGAGCCAAAGACGCGTGAACACGGGCTGGGAAGCCGGCCACGGGGCGGTGGGGTGACAGAGCCAGCACCCCTGAGCCAGAGCCACGTGGGTTCTGGGGATGGTGGGGACGGGGGGTGCAGAGAGGCTGGGGAGGAGTCACCTCCCCTGGGTCGGGGTGGGGGTGGGGTGAGTCGGGGCACAGACTGTCCCAGCATGATGGGGGGCGGGGAGAGGGCCTCGTCCCCTCCAGTTCCACTCCCAGCGCCTCTCGCTCCTGGTGCAGGGCCCCGGTCAGCATCGCCCCAGCAGACGCAGATGCTGTGCAGGGGGCGACGTGTGCTCTCCAGGAAGGAAATGTTCCACAGCCACCTGGCAGCTGGGGGGCGGGGCCGGGGTGGGGGGGAGTGGAGCCGGGGGAGAGGGGAGGGGGGGCTGGGGGGTAGGACGTGAGACTCAGGCTTTCAGAGGTGGCCTGGTTTCTAGGGAGAGAAGGTGACAGAGCTGGGGCTACCTGAGCCAGTCTAGGACGGTCTTTCCAGCTGTGGCCTTGTGGGTCCAGATGAACCTTCGATGGTCCAGAAACAACAGTCTTAAATACCAGGTGCTCGCTCATTTTTCCCTTCGGTCTTTGGAACCGGCAACACGTCCTAACAGGTGTTTTGAAGGAAACACCTTACCACAGAGGTCAGGTGGACAGGCTCTGTCGGGGCAGGAGGGAGGGGCCCCTCAGCGAGGACCTAGGGGGAACGAGACTGCCGGGTCCACAAGCAGCATTCTAGGGCAGTTTCTCCCCAGTTGACACGTGCTAAAAGCATGATGGGGCAAATACCGAAATGGAATCCAGAAAAGGCTTCAGAAAACTGTTCTGGTGAGAGTATGCATTGGCGACTTTGTGGAAGAGAACTCGCCAACACGTACCAATGCCGGACAATTCTGTACATCCCTTGTTGCAGAAATCCTACTGCGAAACACTTATCTTAAGGAAATAATCAGAGACCGTCACGATACTCACCTGAATGTCCTTTAGTAGGAAAGAGACTTTACATATTACGCATTTATACAGCCAGACACTCATGAAGCCATTAAAGTTATCTGGTCGAAGCTTATTCGAGAATTTGGAAAGAGGTCTTGACGTATTAAGTTAATAGCCTTTCTAATCGGTCTTTCCACACCCATTTAACAGAAAATAACACACACTGATGAGGGTCTGGAGAAACTGGAACCCCTTGCAGCGTTGGCAGGACCAGAAAACAGAGCGGCCGCCGTGGCAACCGTAAGGAGGCCCCTCACGAAGGAAGCACAGAACCAGAACCACCGAACGACCCCAGGATCCTGCTTCCGAGCCTCACCTGGAGGAATTAAAGCAGGCACACAGATCCCAGCGCACCCATACAGGTGTGCAACCACACGAGTGTGCCACTGTGTGAGCGTGCAACCATTCAAGCAGGATAATTCGCAACAGCCAAGAGACGGAAACAAGGCAAGAGTCCACGGCCAGATGAACGGCCAGATGGACTGTGGTCGACGCACACAACGGGGAGCATTCAGTCCTAGAAAGGACAAATTCTGACACCTGTCACCACACGGACGGACCCTGGGGACATTCTGCGGAGTGAAGGGAGCCAGTCACCACAGGACAGACACAGTGTGACAGCACCCACGGAAGACAGGACGGCGGGTGCCGGGGGCCGGGCAGGGGATGGGGGTCAGTATCTCGTGGGGACAAAGCTTCAGTCTGGGAAGATGGAAAGTTCTGGAGGCGGAGGGCACTGCTGGTGGTTTTCGTGCTCCCGAGGGGCACTGAAGAATGGTAAATGTTACGTATATTTTACCACAATAAAGGGAATCATCTAGAGACTGTTGGTTTTACTAATTTCATCCCCTTCACACACAGACCCAAATATTAACCGTGGCCTCTGCAAACGACTGGTACTTTCTCCACAGTGATTCCCTGCATTCGGCAAACTCCCTACAACACATACGTTTCCTGCCTGCCGTGAGGCTGTGTTCGGGTTCAGACCACATTTCCACTTGGGCTAAACTCCAGGAGCAGGCTAATCCCCTGAGGTTCGTACTTCATAAACACAGACGCACAGCTCACCGCCGCCACCGAGTGAGGACAGCGTCACAAGAAAAAGCAGCAGACACGGACCGGACCTGGGGGTGGACGCAGCCTGTGTCCGCGGATCAGTCACGCGACGTGCGCTCTCCCACCAAGTCGGGTCTCGGGCCCAACGACAGGGAGGTCGGCGTGTGGGTTCTCGGCGTTACCATTAGGGAGTCAGTCAGCTTACTCACAGGAGTAACCTGGGGAACATGTCCCAGGGCAATAAATCTCTTCAACAGAGAAAAACCAAAACGCACAGGATGCTTTCTGTTCCCACAGAAATACAACTGTTCCCACGACTGGATTTGTGTCTGCCGGGTCAACGTGACAGGGAAACAATACGAGTTAAACACCCAGCCGGAGGTGATGACGGGAGAGCTCGCGTTGTGACCGGGCGACGTGACACATGGAGATCCCGCCACCCACACGTTCCACTGGGCGCAGCAGGGACTCAGAACCACCTGCCTGCTCTCCCTCCATCAACCCTCCTCTCGGAAGTCACAGTTCATCACTGCCGGACTTTAAGAAGTAGATAAAATATACCTGAAACTGATTTTATGAACACTGCTTCAAACAACAGAGCCTAGGGCGCCTGGGTGGTTCAGTTGGTTAAGCATCTGACTCTGGCTCAGGTCGTGATCTGGTGGTTTGTGGGTGCGAGCCCCACGTCCGGCTCTGTGCTGACAGCTCGGAGCCTGGAGCCTGCTTTGGATTCTGCGTCTTCCTCTGTCTCTGCCCCTGCCCTGTTCACACTCTGTCTCTCTCTCTCTCAAAACTAAATGAATATTTTTAAAAATTTAAATAACAAAGCCTGACAGGGTCTTCCCCTTAAAGGAAGAAGGTAATTCTTGTTCAGTGCCTTCAGCAAGGAAGATGGGCAGCACAGGGCCAGGCCCCCACGGACAGGCCGCCGTCACCCAGAGTCCACGGTTTCCATCCAGTGATGCGCACCGCACGGGTGTGGACAAAGGCACCGTGATGTGTGGCCACCATCACAGCGTCACACACAGCAGCCCAGAAACGTCCCCTGCACTTGGCCAGGTCACCTCCCCTGCCACCCCCGGAATGCCTGATGCCTCCCGACCAGCTAGTGACCTGGCTTCACGCGCTATTGGGTGCCTTGTCCCCAGAGCCAATGCCCGTGGTCCTTCCCCGCTGTCCCCTACGGTGACCTCACCGCCCCGTTTAACGTGACCATCCTTTGGCATCAGTGACACTACAGTCTCCCGGCTCCCTCCCACACACCCAGCTGCTTGTTTCAGTCCCTCTCAAGGACAGAACCGTGTCCCCCTACACCCTAGGCTGAAGGTCTAACCCCAGGACCTCAGAACACAGCTACGTGTGGAGACGGGGCCTCAAAGGTGATTAAGGTAGAATGAGGTCGCTAGGGCGGCCCCACTCCAGTACGACGGGTGTCCTCATCAGAAGAGGTCAGGACACACACGCACCGAGGCACGACCACGTGGGGACACGGGGAGGGACGGTGTCTGCACGCCAAGGAGAGAGGCCTCTGAAGGAGGCTGGGATCCCGGATGTCTGCCTCCAGGCTGTGACAGGTGCAGGCCTGTGGCACCGCCCACCGCACTCAGAACAGCTCCCCAAGCTGACTCTGCTTCCCTCCACGGACCCCCTTGCTTCTGCCCCCAACAGAGAGTTCCAGCGCACCTGACACTCTCCCTACGGGGAGGCCGGACCTGCTGGAGGCCCTGGTGTCCGTCTGCACAAAACCCCAAGTTCACACCCAGACCCCCTGCTAGAGCCCCGGACCCCCATCCAAGGAGCTCTGCTGGGGTTTCCATGAGGCCCTCCGACCCAGCCCTGCCCCCACCCCCCTGTGTCCCCGCCCACTCCCAACCTGCCCTGCCCCCGCCCCCCTGCGTCAGTCCCCACCCACTCCCAACTTGCCCTGCCTCCCATCCCTCTCTGTCCCCGC